ACTATAGTCTTTATTTATAAATACTCCTTTGTCTATTAAAAGAGGAAGAAATCCGAGATTATTTAGTATAATTTTTAAATAATTATACTAGAGCTTAGGACTTTATTTTAGGCTATATAATGCTTTCTTTAGCTTTGCTTTAATTTAACCGGTTTTATATAGGTCTAGGAATTTAGTTAATTTAATTCCTTTAGCTCTATAAGCTAATCTATATTTTAAATAATAATCTTTAAGAGCGTATTCTTCGTAGCCTATAGGAAGATCGATATATACTTCGCTATCTATATCGGTATATACGAAGGCATTTATTATATCTATTTATAAAGCTTTAAATTCATAGATAATAGCTAAAATAAGCAGAATTCTAATAGATTTAGGTCTAGCCGTAGTCGAGAAGGTATCTAGGAAATCTAAGCTATAGATCTGCTTAAATCCCTATATTACGAAACGGGCTTTATATTTTATTATATTAATTTAACTATCCTTCTTAATAGTATAGACCTAGCGGCCTCCTATAGCCTCCCTATCCCTAAGGAGGTAGGAAAATTCCTAAGTTTTATATTTAATTAGCTAGATAATTTCCTTAATTATAGTATCTTTCTAAAATGCTATTTTAGGGCTATTTATTGCCTATTTATAGGTCTTTAGAATTTTTAGATCCTAATTTTCTATACTAGCTAGAATTAACTCTATAAAATCGTAGTTTAGAAATAAATTAACGTTAGGGTATTCGATATAGTTAGAATCGAACCCTTCCGGCTTCTTAGGTAATTCTACTACTATTTTACTAGTAGTAGGAATAGGATCGTTATTTAGAGACTCTTCTTCTATAGAGGGCGAGGGACTTTTATCTCTAGGTTCTCTAATAGCTTCTTCTATAGGGATATAGCTTTCTAGCTTATCTTTATTCGGAATAGAATTAAAATTAAAGGTATTATTACTACTAGAGATTTCTAGATTTTTTATAAATTTATTTTCTAGTATAGTAATATCTCTAGAGATAGTAATCTTTCTCTTAGAGAGCCTAGTAGTAAATAAAAGAGCTCGTACTTTTTCTAATATAGTACGATTTATTCTTTCTATTCTACCGTTAGATTCCAGCGTCCTAGGAGGACTAGAATTAAAGGTAATTCCTTCTTTTTCGCAATAGAGCTTTATTTTATATATAAATTCTTTAGCATTATTAGAAAATGCTTCTTTAATCCTAGTATTTTTAAGGTTATTTTCTACCCTATTTTTAAATTCTAGGAACCTATCTAGAGCTTCTCCCTTTTTTCGAAGAAGGTATATTTCTAGATATCGGGTTCCTACGTCTAGGAAAGAAATATAATAGTAATATTTATTATAAGTAGGCACTTTAATTAGCCCCTAAATATCTAATACTATTTTTTCTAAATAAGACTAAGACTTATACGAAGGTTATTTATTAACCTTATTCGTTGCTTTAGCTCTAATATATATTTCGCATTGCCTTATTTTATTTTCCTCTTCTAGAGGCATTTTATATCCTTATTATATCTTTTAATATTTCTAAAATAGCCCTACTATTTATATGCCCTAAGCGTAAGTGCTAAGTATAAAAATCTATATCCTTTGCTTTTAAAGACGTAATAAGGATTAATTAGCTTTCTAATAAAGGTTCTATAAGAATATAATATAATTTATTTCTAAGAAATCCTTTAGTAAGGACCTTAGCCTTATTATCTAATAAAAGGACTTTATTTCCTCCTATTAAGGCATAGGTATTATTAAAATAAGATTAGGATAGTATATTTACCCTTAATTTAGGTATATAAAAGCAGTCTTAAAGGATATACCTTTTACTATTATACGGGAACTTAAATACTAAGTCCCCCTTTCCTTTTACTAATATAAAGGAAGCTTTTCCCTAGCAAACTTTAGACTTAATTTCTTTATAGTTAATAAGGAAATTTTTATTTAATACTATATACCTAGTAGCTCCGGTATTATAAAATTAAAGATCCTTTTATTCTTATAACTAGGAAATCCTCCTTCTCTTACCTTTAAAACTAATTCCTTTATTTTAAGAATCGAGGCTTTTAAAAGTCCTAAAAGAGAGTCTTTATTAGCTTCTACTATAAGGGTATTTATAAAGGTTAAAATTACCTCTAAGTCCTTAGACGTTTATATAAGGGTCGGAGCCTTAGAAAGGTCTATAAGGTCGATATCTAGGTCTATATTTTCTTACGAAGCTATATTTAAGACCTTATTACTATTGTCCGAATCGGACTCTAGCTCTATAATTTAAGCCTTCTTTCTTTTATTAGTAGTAGAAATACTACTAGAAGGGGATTTCTTCTTAGAAGAAGAAGATAAAGAAGAAGATTTTCTCTTCTTAGAAATTTAAGTCCTATCGTCCTTTTTTCCTTTATTTAAAACCTAATAAGTAGGAGCCTTATTCGGGTATAATTTATAGCAATTTACTATAAAATGCCCTGGTTTTTTATATTCCTTATAATAAGGAGTATCTATAGAATTTCTATAGGATTTCTAAGGCTTCCTTTATATTAAGAAGGCTTTCTCTAAAGATTTATCTATATCCTCTATTCTTCTAGCTTCGTCTAAAAGACTAGCTATTAAGGATTCGAGGGTAAACGCCGTAGAATTATACTTAAGGCTCTACGTAATATTTATAATATAGCTTCTAAATTCCTTATTAAGGCAATTAAGAATCTATGCTATAAGGATAACTTCTAGAATTTCTATATTATAGGATTTTAAATCCTCGTAGATTTCCTTTACCTTATAAAGGCATTTCTTTAAATTAAAGCCTAAGGGACTAAGATTAAAGAGCTACTTTATAAGTAAATAATTCGACGAGAAATTCGACGGATTATATAGCTTTATAAGCTTATCCTAAGTAGCTTTAGTATTTATTAAATGCTTAATTTATATTAAAGGGCTATCTTTAACTTAAAGAAAAATCTAGGATAAAGCTTCTATAGTCTTTATATAATTTTCTTACTCTAAGGTAGCGATAAGCTTTTCCTTAGTAAGGATAGCTCTTATCCTCGTAGTCTAAAAAGTATAATTTAAATTTCCCTTAAGTCTAGAGAATTTATATTCTTTCTATCTACCTATTTTATATAAATTCGGTATTATTTCGTTTATAGGGATCGAGAAGTCTAGACGGGAGTTTAAGAGCGTAGGAAGGTAGAAGAAGTTATTAGGGGGATTTTCGAAAGGAATTTTAATCGGGTATTTCGATAAGGAATTTCAAAGGTATAAGTTAATTTCCTAGCTTAAAAGGAGTAAGCCGGGCTTATAACCTCTTAAGGTATATAAGCAAAAGCGGAATTTTAGGAAATTAAGGAATTATATAAGGCTATATAATAGAGGGGAAGAAGGAGTATAAGGTAGGATTTTTAATAGAATTTATTAGTAATATATTAGTATATAGAAGAGGTGTTAAAGTTAATAATTCTCTATTTATTTACTAGCGGATATACTATCTTATATAGATAATTATAGCTAAACGGAAGAACCTTTTAAGACTAGATTTAGGATGCCGTATAGCCCTAAGACTAAGGAGTTTAGTAATACTAGAGTATATTAGGAAGTGTCTTAGTTCTACTAATATTCGTGTTTAAAGGAGGTTAGTCGTGCCGGTATTCTTAAGAGGTCTTAGCTAGCATTCTAAGCTAGCTCTATTTCTTTGATTCCCGATTATACGATAACTAGCAACCCGTTTAATATATAATAATATGCAAAATAACGAGCGATTCTTGCTCTATAATATAGGATTTTGTCTATAATTAATATACTACTTATTAGCTTTTATAATCGGGAGAGTATATTATAGCTACTTTATTTATATTAGGAACACCGTTCCTTATACTAAGTAAGCTTTATATAGATAGATTACTACTTAGGATCATAGCTTATAAGTAAGCTATAGTAAGCTATAAAAGGGATTATAGCTAGGACCGTAATCTAAGAATAGTCTCTATAGGTATATATAGCTACCTACTTTTACTCCTTTAAATAAATAGCTCTCTAGCTTTTAATATAGATCTTTATTATAATTCTATCTTTAATTCTAATTACTTAGTTATAGTCTATAGTCTATAACCTCTAACTTATTACTAATATAATATACTTATTATTATTTATACTACGCCCTATTATATCTACTAATATAAACCCCTCGATAGGTTTATCCCTTAAGAATAACACCGGTCGTTATATATATAGGTTATATATACGGGCTATATATATATATAGGCGGGTATAGGCGCGGGTATAAGTATAGGCGTAGGTATAGGTATTTAAGTAGTATAGGTACTTACTAAGCACGCGTAGTATAAATAAGCGGGGCGGTCTAGCTTTAGTATATATCTTAAAAATAAGTTAAGTATATAAATAGTAATATACTATTATATAAATAGTAATACTCTTCCTTAATCCCGTTAATAGAGGCGCCGTTAATATAGGTAGAATTAAGAGATTTACCTTTAATCGTGCTAATCTCTAGGTTTCGGGCTAAAAAGCTCGAAACCTAGTATTTTCTAAGCGGGCGGGGGTCTCTACTAGCTACGATAATACGGCCGGCGAATTCCCTAAGTTAATAATATATTAGAGGCAGCCTAAGGGCTGCTTAGGTAAGAACCTATTTATAGAAGTGTTTTTCCTACTCTTAACTAAGCCTTTAAGATGCCTCTTTTACCTCCTTTATAGGTAGGGCTCCTTTAAGACGCGTCTAAAGGGTTATTCTTAGAATACCCTACTTACGACTAGCTTAGAGCTAAGGTATACTATTATTAATAGCTTCGAGCGCTTCTTAGAGCTAGTTTTCGGTATATTTAGAAAAACGAGGCATCGCTAATTCGAATAATATTTATTTTATAATTATTAAATAAGAGATACACGAGAAAACGCGGCTACGATATAGTAGGTAGTTAACGCGATGGTGATGTGGGGAGGTGCCGGAAGTAGGGGGTGCCGGAAGCTAGGTGTGCTGACTTATGTTCTCGTCGGATTCAACGTCGTGACTCGTAAACCGGCGGTGGCCTTCTCACCCGCGAAAACGGATTCTCACGCCCCGTCTCCCAAGGCTCTTCTCTCCGACGCCCAGACTCTCGACTATGGTTGACGACTCGGCGGAGATTCTCGACCGAATCCCGCTGCAGCCTGTCGCTGAGCCTTTGGCCCCGGTCGAGGTCGCCACGCAGCCAGTCGTGGCGAGCCTCTTGCTCAAGCCTCGAGTCGCGCTGGAGGCGGTCCTCGTCGTCCAGACGTGTCCGATACAGACGATATCGCATTTGGTCCAGGTCCTCGGCAAACAAATTCCTGCGGGCCTCGTGCTCGGGCAAACAGCGGAACAACGGTGGCGAACGCTGAATCACCTTGGGAAGAAGGCCTCTCAGCCTCGCCCCGCCGTCTCTGTCCTCAATATAGGCCGATTCCCTAACTATTCCGACGTCCGTTGCCGGAGTCAGGACTCGTAGGCCCGGGCCTTGACGGACTCGCTGAGGATGGGCCGCGGGCAGATATTCCTGGTCTCGCTTCGAGTGGCGACGCGGGACCTCCACGCCAAAGTACTCCTGTCGCTCCTGAATGCGGTGTCGGCTCGGGCTCCTGCCCTTTCCATCGAAGGAGCGGCGGAAACTGGAACCCGAGGAAGATCTAGCAGTCGAATACCCGCCGCTTTCAGATTCCCAGGGGTCTCTGGATGAGAAGGAGCTCCGTGAGTCGCGAGGGGATCCGAAAAAGCCCTTGACGTCTGCCCGCGTCGGGCTTGTCACCTCGGCCTTTGGATTTCCATGTCTGTGACGGTCTCCCGTACCGGTGTTCCCCGCTGGTTGGTGTGGCGCCGGCGGCGGAGGCGGCGGTGGAGGTGGCAGCCGAGGCTGTATCGGCGGTTGGAAGGGTGGCATGCCCGTCGTCGGCGGTTGGCCAAACTGAGGTGGCAGAGGCCTGGATCCAAAGGGACCGGCCGGCATGCTGGATTGTTGCTTCGACCTCTGCTCCTCCTGCAGCATCGCCAAGGCGTTCTCGTTGGGTCTTGGGGTCCTCTCGAAGTAGGTCGTGACGGAGACCCTTTCGTATTTTGGCTCGTGGCTCGTTCTCTCAAGCCCGCATTTGCACCTTGTCCTAACAAATGCGCATTTGCACTTCGTCTGCAGAGGCGAGCAGTTGCACTTTGCCTGTACAAGCGTGCATTTGCACTTCTTGCTCTTCTTGTTCTTATCCGAGAAATTGAAGCGTAAAGACGAGCTGTCCTGGATTCTTCTCAACTTGGAATCGAGCTGGACGAGCACGTAGTGGTAGCGTGTATCTGGCTCCCGTTCTTCCAGCTCCCACTGAGCTACCTCAATCTGACGCTGAACTGCCGGGCCAAGCTCGCTCTTCTTGTCGCCCACAGGCGGGCCGTGCTTCATCAACTCGCGAGCCTTGCGGGTCGCCTCCTGTTGGGAGATGGCGGTCTCCTCCACGGCCTCGATGCGTCGCCAGGTAGGCCGCAGTGGGTAGCCTTCCTCGTCGACTTCGTTGGAACAGTCCTTCTTCTCCATGCGGATGACCACGAAACTCGAGAGCCAGTGGCGAGCATCGGCCTCTGTCGGGTTCTCGTTTCGAATGTCGGATGTCTGGAGGCCGTATCTCCGATGGCGCGCGGGCGGTTGCCAGCGCAACTGGCCCTGCGAGGGGATCTGTTGCGGGCCGTTCAGAGGGGGAGGGAAATTGGGCATGGGGGGGGGATGGGCGGGCATTGCAGGAGGAGGCATCATGCCGCCGCCGCCGAGTCGTGGGTCTCGAGCAGGTTGAGCATGGCCAGCGGGAGGCATGGGAGCAGGCGGCGGCGGCTGAGTGAGGTTGGTGCCGTGCTGTCGAGGGACAACACCACGGCTGTCGTTGAACTGCCCCGCAGCGGGATGGAATTGGTTAGCCATGTGGTGACGTTGTTTCTTTGGCTCATCCAGGGTAGTCAGTGTTGGTTGTAATAGAAGACGAAGCTCGCCGGGTCAAACGGGGCTGGGCGACTACCTATACAAAGACCCAAGCTAAGGGAGGGGAGGGAGCGTATGCGGTTCCAAGGGCTCGGCTCCTCCTGACGCCCCGCGTACGTCTTGCTGTCGTGTCGAGGGCAGCAAGAATGAGGCGGTCAAGCACCAGGCATCAGGCATGTGTATGCCTTGGTGCAGGTGTGCCATTACACGTCGTCGGCACATGAGGAAAAGGGGGGGGTTTGGTCTGTCGCCTTTAAGAGGCGAGAAAGGATGTCGCAACTCTCACATCGGGTTCCTCTCCTCCATTTGCCCCCTTGCTACGCCTCCCGACGATGCCAAGTGCGACGTCAAAGTGCAGTTTTCCCCCAAGGAGTCGAACCCCCGTCGATGACCGAGCTATATCCCGGGTGCAACGAAAGATGTGTCAGTCACGGCCTGCTGCAGGCGATGTGCGGGGAGCACAGACAGGGCCCTGCTCTCGGTGTGTGCATGGCCGATTGAGTGTCCATGCAAGTCATTCCCGCAGCAGTTTGCCCTTTTCCTACATGTCAGCCAGTCCAAGGGGGTGGAGAAGCAGCGGCGAGCGGTTCGGGCAGCCGTTCTGATCCAAGACTGCAGGGGCACAAGCATTACCGGCCAAGCGTCTTTGCCGAGGGGCGTCGATGTCGATCTGGTGAAATGGCCACGGGAGTTGGAGGCTCAAGCTCGCGGCGCGAAGCTAGGCAACCGAGTTGCCTTGCCTGATGTCTGAGGGGTGTTGCCTCGCCCGACGACCTGCGGTCCCTCTGGCTGACTCGAGTGTTCCTGGTTCGAGAAAATCCCGCCGGCATCGTCGTTTGCGATTCGCCAATGGTGGTTTGCCCGAGGGGAGGAGAGGCTGCCTTGCCGCAGGGCAAGCTCGACATCCGTTTGGTCAGGCCGGAGGGAAGGGTGGCGCAGGAGGCGCGGGCGATTGGCTCACGCGGCGACTAGTTTCTGGTGTGCATCTCTCGTCGTGCCAGGCGGAGCGGACAATCGGAGGTGCTGGCGACGAGTCGATCCATGGTGGAAGATGCAGGTGAATGCTGACGGTGCGGTGTGACGCGGCGCCGAATGTCGACTTGGCGCGATGCTGGGAGAATGGGGCCTCTCAGACGACGAGGAGCCTGCGGTCGAAGGTGTCTCGACTCCTCGAGCCCGAGCAGCAAGGAGGAGAGGAAAGAGACTCGGGCGAGCATCCGGTGTAGGTTACGCACACGTGACACGGCCGCCCGCCAACGCAGTGCTCACTGGCCCTCGACTTGACTGTGCTGAGCCCAGATCGGAGATTTAGCATGCCATGGCAGCGCCGCCCGGGGCGACACGGCAGCGGCGACTTGGTTGTGTCGCGGCACCGGAGATGTCCTGTACGCCATCGCCCTCACAAGCAGTCATCGTGCGTCGTGCAACCCGAAGGGTGGTGAGTGAGGTGGGTGAGGCTGGTGAGGTTGGCATGGCAGGCTGTACAATGGGACGATCGCCTGCCTCGCTGCCCCCCAACTGCGGGTTGTGCAGTTACAGGCCTTAGTTACAGGCCTTGTTGGACACACAACAGCCCTTTTCTTACGCTTGATCCTTGTATCATGGTTGTATGAGAAAAGCCAAGTCTCCAAAGGGTCAACCGAAGAGTATGAGAGCAGCCGCCAGATGGAATGGGCTGGTAAATGCCTCGCTCTCAACACCCCATCTGCCAGTACCATTCAACGCCTGGCCGCCAACAACCCCCTGGAACGCGTCTCCCACACGCAATGCCGTGCAAGCGTCCCGCAACATGTGTGGCAGCCTGCGTCTCACCGCCCAGCTGCTGTGCTGTGGGTTAGAGGTGATGCAGTGAACCTGTGGCGCTACGCCCAGCCATGGGGCGAAGCTCTCAGGGCCAGAAAGGCGACCGAGATGAAGACGACAAAGTGAGGCTTCCAATTACGTACAGATTCCTCGCAGGAGCTGAAACGCAACTCTGCGCCGCACATCTGGTTCTGGATTTGTTTCTCGTATTATTGCCTTCATCGAGACCGCGTCTCCGTGCAGAGGACCCATGTGACTTTGCATCACGTCCTCGGGCAACCCGACGACACCATCCACCGGCCGACGGCCTTGGGCCTCTCCTCATGCCAGATACGTGTACCCGTTGTCTTCCCGCTCCAGGTAGTCCTTCTCAATGAGACTGCAGAGGGCGGGTGTGTTAGCGCTTCAGTCGATCCCCACGCAGCTCACGAACAAGACTCACCTCTCAATCTCCTTCTTGATTGCAACCGGCTCGACGCTACCCCTCTTCTTCGTCAGATTGATCACCTCGGCTACAAGCTCTGCGTGCCCCATGTGCTTGCGACTCTTCATGATGCGCACGATTGCGGCCTGCGTCTCGAACCGTCGGTCCTGCACGATCCTCTCGTGCGTCGCCTTGTTCTCTTCCCTTGTCTCCTTGAGCTGGATCTGGTTGATCTTAACTCGGTACTTGGCATCTGCGAAGCCCTTGTTGAATGTGAACGTATCTGTCGGCTTCACCTCGCGCCCCTTGGGATGCTTGGACAGGACCCGGGCCTTGCCACAGGCCAGCGATTGCAGTGTCCGCTCCAGCTCGCCCCCCTGGAGGCCTGTTGCTGTGGATATCTGGTCGTAGGTGAGAAACCCGTCGTCGGGGACACTGTTGAACACCATGAGGACGACGGCCTGAAACGCGGAGACGAGGAGCTCCTTTGCTCCCCTGGGAAACGCCGCCTTGATGGAGCAATGCGCCAGCGAGTGTTTCCACGTCAGCACCCGCCCCGTGTGCTTGGTCCTGTAGTGCCCATCGAAGCGCTCAATCTGGCCGGCGACCTCGTCCGGCAGGCTCAGCCGCACGTCTGGATACGTCGGCCACGCGGCGGCGGACAGAATCATGACGTGCAGGTCCAGGGCTGGCTTCCGCTCCAAGTTGGCACTGCTCCACTGCTTGTACGATTCCATCTCGTCTTTGGCCAGCTCCTGATCCTTGAACATTTGCTCCAAGTTGTGCGTAAAGTTGGAGCCGCACTCGCCTCGGAGCTTGGTCAGCATGTTGCGCTCCGCGTCTTGACTTGCGCTGCGACCCATGAGCAGCCGCCGGGCGAGATCTTTTTTGTAAAACGCCTCAAACGCATCCTTGCCCTCGATGAATCGGAACAGCTCCAGGGCTTGGTCCAGCTGACGGTCTAGTTCCGCGTCCTCATCGGCGCTGCTTGCCTGGCCCTGCTTCTCGGCCGCTGCCCTGTCCTGGACGTCGGACAGGAGATCCTTGGGCAGGGCTTTCAGGCCGCCCCTCAAGAGCATGTCGATGTACTTGGCCGTCATTTCTCCGATCTTGGACGTCCCCGTGTCCCAGCAGGCGGCTGTTGAGCGGTCGTTCATGAACTTGCCGAAAGCTTCCCGCATCCCCCACAAAAAGTCCTCGTCCTTGTCAAAGGCGTCGCGGATCATGAGGTCTAATGATCGCCGCAAATCCAAGAGCCGAAGGACCATTTCATCGCCCCGGTCCTTGTCCGAGACGATGGAAGCGCCAGTGGTCCGGATGTAGTCTCCCCACGGCGCCTTCATCTTCTTTTGTATGCCCGATAGCCGTAGCAGGTCGTATAGCCCCTTCATCGACTTGACGTCCTTCTCTGACAAGAGATGCGACAAGCTTCCTCCGTGCAACAGTTTGTCCGAGTAGTGTTCGATCAGAATGGCATGCGCCGAGTCCATTAGCTGTTTCTCTGTGGTGCTCTCGAGATTGTACGCGATGCAACGGTAGTCCTCCCTCTGCAACAGAGTCTCGCAGGCCGAAATATACTCCTTGAGGCTCGAGGCGCTCCAAGACTCGCCAAAGTCATTAAAGTATGCTGCCGATTCTTGCAGCAGCCGTGGCTCAAAGTGCTTGACGTACACTCCCAAGACGTAGAGCATGCGAACAGAGTCCTTGAGGAGATGCGAGTCCAGCCGCGGATCGCCTCGGCGGTCGTATTCAACCATCTCGCAGATGCCGGCAACAGCCTGGGCTCCCGGCGTATTACTCAAGGCTGCGTCTTGCTGGAGAAAGGCCATTCTCCGGAAGTGGGTTATGGTCATGTCGTTGATGGACGGGAGAGATTCGCGGAGTAGATACGTTCGGTCCAGGTAGCTAAAGGTCGAGCGAATGGTCACCTGCGGCCGAGTGAGCGAAGAGTGACGCAGCTGAGGGGTAATCAGGGGCAATGGCATACCGCCTGGGCGCTCCAGGTCTTCCACTCCCCCAGAACACTCCTCAAGACATCGACGCTCGAGCTGCCCCCCGAACGCTTTATGCGGGGCAAGACGGCTTTGTGGAGGTGTGAGTCGACGCGCTCTGAGAGCAACTTGTACACCTTTTCGGCATTTCCCCTCCGACACACGTCCTCGACGCCGCGGTATAGCCTCTCGAGGGGCACGGCTGGGCGGCCGTCGGCGAAGACGGCGGCGAGGGCGCTGTCGAGCTCCCTTTCGGTGCGGGCATAGTACTCCTCGACCTCGGCGTCCCGGTTGCTAAGGGCCCGCAGGTTCTTGATGACGAGCCTCTTGGCGCCGCTGTAGGGCTGGAAGGCCGACGGACGCTGGGTGAGGTCGATGGTCTCTGGGAGCTTGCCCCTGGCTCGCGCGCTGGCCATGGCGGGCGTGTCGGCGAAGCGGGGGCGTTTGGACGCGACGACGGGGGACGCGGCAGGCGACGAGGACGACGAAGCAGACGACGAGAGGCGCGGCCGGCGGCGGGAGGAGGAATTGGCGGGCGCGGATTGCATGGGGCGGCGATGGAGGCGTTCCGAGGCCAGTGCCGAGGGTGGCGCCAGCTCTGGTCGCTGTGAGGGCGGGGCTCTGCAACGGCCAGCTGTCGTCGATTCTATGCAGCGTCTATACAGTTCCGGTCGGCAGTTGAGTACAGGGCAAGCGGGACGGAGAGAATACGCGTAAGGGAAGTTTGGCGGACGCGTTGCGAAGTGGTCAAGTTATGTCACTTTCGACGATGGATGGCTTCCAGGTACTTTTTACCAGTGCTACGTACACTATGCCCCGCGATTAGATAACGTCGGATTTAATCGCTCCATTATGTATGTTAGCTCCGGCACTGTATCTCGACCCCTCGAGCAAGCATCCTCGCTTTGACTCTTTTTTCTCCCCTTGCTCCCTTTCATGGGTGGTAGCTTGCTTCATGTCTACACGTCCACTCCCATAATCAGCTGCGTCTCCCTCCCACCGCAGATGATGTAGTTGTGCCTCACCACCCGAACCGTCGAGTCGCGAGCCTCGTTTCACCACTCAAGCGTACGCCGCCCAGCCTGTTCGAAACAACGTCAGTCAGCCAGTGCCTTCACACTCTCCCAAAGCTTCGTTCAGCACGCACCAGAGTAAAGAACCGCCAGGTTACGCTCGTCGGTGGCTTGGTTGATCAGATCGTTGACCGTCGCCGTCACGCTGAGCGCCTTGGAGAGCTTCTTCCGCACCACCTCGAGCGCCCGCTCCGCCTCCGACGGCTCGTTGAAGTGCCCTGCCCCCTTTTTGCCCCTCTTGGTCTCTGCCTCGCCCTGCTCTGCGTCTTCCGCCCCAGTGTCGCCCTCCTGCCTCGCCTTCTGCAGCTTGGCCAGCCTGAGCGGCGAGATGGACCACGTGTACAGCGGATCGTAGCGCAGCACGTCCAGGATGGTCATGATGGAGTACTGCTCCTCTCGAAGGGCATCCAGGGTGAACTCGCAGCAGCGCCGGAACACGCCCTCCGTCTTCGTAATGCCCATGCCGTCAACAATGTCTCGGGTCAGTCGAAAGGGCACAAGCTCCGGTACCGGGAGAATCCTCCCCGCCTCGAATGCCACGCCCAGGTCAATGTGCACCGCCTCGCCCGTCTTGGTGTCCAACAGGATGTTGTGGCCGTGCCGGTCGCCTACTCCGAGGACGTGGCCTAGCATCGATATCGCCGCCGTGCTTCTCGTGTAGGCCAAGCGCTTTGTGAACCACTCGTCCGGGTCCATAAAGTTCTCCATGAAAAAGTACCTCATCACCGGGCGAAACCTCTCCGTCACTTTGCGATACGTGTTGATGCGGGCCTCGGTAGACTTGTTCTGGACCGTGTATATCTCCTTCCTACACTGGGACCCCTTCAGATCCCGAGGGTAGTATCTCTCATGCGCCGGCATGAGGAATTCGTGCAGGGGAATGGTGTTGGGGACAAACTCGATCAAGCCCGAGGACGCGGTGAGCGGCAAGACCTTGTACGTCCGGATTCCCAAGTTCCTCTGCTGAGTGCTTCTGTGCAGCTTCAAGAGCGACGATGCTGCGGCAAAGACTTGCTCCATGATTGCGTCCTGGCGGAGGTCGTCGTGACCGCCCTTGACCAGCTGCTTGTACTTGTTGCCATCGCTGCCCACGGCTGTGATGATCTTGGGCGCGCTCACCCCAGATGCAATCGTCATTGTCGGTTCCAGCTTTAAGATGTGCGGCACGCTGGAATAGTCCTTGGTGGCAGACACGCCGATGTGCATCGTCGGCGGCGGGACCCGGTATTTGGCCAGGCAGTTCACCAGATGCTGCCCGGCTGCCGAGTCTTTCAGGGCAACCTTGGCGCCCGACTTGTACTTGCTCGGGTTCCTGTCAATGGCCAGCCCGTGGTAGTACTTGCTCGTCTTATCGATGGACAACCAGATGTTGGCCACAGACTTGGTGCTGTAGAGCCGCTGGGCAACCTTTTCCGTCGCCCTCACGCGCAGCACAGCCACCTCGTCCTTTTGCTGAGCCTTGGCCTTTGTCCCCGACCAGATCTGGTACATGCCGTGGTAGGGATGGTCGACGCATATGTTGACGACGAGGTCGGAGAGCAGCTTCTGGAAAACTGATTCTTGATTCTGGAGCCGGGACGTCAGCTGGTTCATGAGGCTGGCAAACTTCCCCGTCGGCACCAGCTCGAGATGGCGTGCCACAGCCTTGCTGGTGGCATCCTCCGTCGACCGCTCCAGCCATAGCGCCGTGAACCGCAGTGCGTCGTTGTTGTACTCGTCAGAAGTCGCCAGGGACAGCAGATAGTTCTCCAAGCTGAGCCGCACAAACTCGCCCCGCGTCTGCTCGACGCGCCGCAGCTCCTGCTCGTCCAGATCCAGCCATTGCTTCTCCTTGGCAAGGCCCTGCTGATATCGATTCTTGAGCTGCGAGTCTCGTGTCGACGATATGAGCGCCTTGAGATCAGCTACCTCGTCGCTCTTGCCTTTCCTCAAGTTCTGCAGTCTCTTCAGATCCTCAAGGCCGTCTGCGTCTTGCAGCTGCTCGTCGCAAAAGGTCGCAAACTGGTGATAGACGGCGCCCGTCTCCTTGGCAAGGGTATTGTCACGCTTGAGCTCTTTGAGTGCCGGCTCAAGGTACGACTTTTGAATGTCTCGCGGCTTTTCCAGGCGCGCGATCGAGACCTTGTGGCCAATTTTGGAGAGCAACTCGGACCGGCTGACGGGGATCGTCTGCTTCCCAAGGGAAGAATCCTTGTCAATCCCCTGGAGCAATCGGATGCTGGTGCTCATCTCTCCATGATCCCACAGTGAGTTGGCGATCTCGATCTTGACTGCTGCATCTACATGCAGGCTCAGGTCCTTGCAGAGAGGTATCAGCTTATTGAGCGCCGTCGAGATGTTGAGAGACTCCTGCGTCGCCTGGTGGTAACGGTATATACCAGATGCCATGAGCATCGCCTCGACTTGCACACGCCTCAGTGAAGACACGGGGAGATTGGCGTTGCTGAGTATCGAGGCGTGTTGACTCAACATGCTGGTTGTCGTCTCTCGACAGGACAAGATCTGGCTTACGTCGTCGTACCTAGAGCTCTGTTAACATTGCCGCCTTGGACGCATGGCGGCGACGCAACAACTTACATGCCACTTCTCATCCATTGGCTGCGATCTCGAAAGCTTTGCAAAACCTTGTTCATTTCGGCAGTGTCGGTGACATTCAGGAGATCGTCGAGCTCGGCCAGAGCCGCCAGTGCGGCCAGCCGGCTTCTTAGCACTGTAGCGTTGGCGCTGTCACCCGTCAAGCTTTGCATGATGCGACTGAAGCCATCATACACTGCTGACCGAACTGCCGAGAGGTCTGTGGCTTGATGCATGCTTTGATAGGCCCTGTACACGGCAACAGCGTGATGCTCCGTAGACGATGGCGCAGGCAAGTTCCATATCTCGAGCCTCCTCGCAGTTCGGAAAGTGCTTTCCAGTGCTGCGTTGGAGGATCCGAGATCTTGCTGTGTTTGGAGCACCGAGTGGGACAGTCCTGACAGACCCAGGGTGCCCAGTGCCCCCACGAGGGCTTGAGCATCCGAGTCCGCTTCCGGATCTCGGAGACGAATGTGGCTGTCATACTGCGCGCCCCTGAATGCAAGGCTCTTGGAGCCTTCCTTTTCGTACTCAACGCGAGCGAGGACCTTGGCAAGACTCGCGTCCTCGGGGAGACCATAGTATGTATCTGGGTCGTCGATGTTTTCAAATATGGCAAGGAGCGTCTCGTTGATGTCCGCTTCTCTGGATGTAGACGACCTCCGAGACTTTCGTGTGCTGTCACAGGTGACGAGCTCGGCAAAGAGTAGAGCAGTCTTGTACATGCCGCAACGCGATGCTGCCGAGGCCGCAGCGCTGTAATCGACTTCGAGCCAGTGTGACCGATCTTCAATGGAAGATTCTCTCGGGTACTCTTGGGTTCTCAGGTAGAGAATGGTGTTGAGCAGCAGCTTCAGGTTGTCCTTGGCCATGGGAGCTTGCGAACTGAGCCATTCCTTGACCGCCGCAGACAAGTGGCGCTTCATGGTCTGATTCTGCTTCATTTCAAAGAATAGAACCAGATGGACGATGAACGGTAATGCCTTGTCGGCGAAGCCTTTCAATCGCGCCAGGATAGGGGGCAGCACGGCAAGAAGAATGGAATCAGGCACAGACTTTGCCAAGTGAACGCTGAGCTGCGACAGCCACTGGTTGGACGCGATGTCTTCTGTCCAGACACACGACACCTCCTCAGAAGCGGGTGCTACCGCCGCCTCTGACGGGGGTGCGCGATGCGCTCCCCACTGCGAGGCAAGGAACAGGGCTTCAGACAAGGTTCTCTGACAAGCGGTCACTAGCGATTCATCCTCTTGCAGCGCTGCCTGAGATACCGCACTCCTCAGAGCGGCCTCCGAGAGGCCGGCAACAACAGAATCCTGATCTGAAGTGAGATCCTGGAGGAGATGCAGCAGACCCATCTCAGATCCATTGGGTCCCGGAGGGGCCATTTTCTTGTATTGTAGGAGCCGCGACTCGCAGAGAATGCCTTGGGGAATCTCCCCCGAGGCCGAAAAGGACCGTCCAAGAACCCGCCCAGACCAAGACAGGTAATTGCGACTGAGGTTCTGTGCCTCACAGCTCCTCCACACAGCGCCAGCAAGAAGAGTTGCATCTTCGTCGCCCCCGACAATGTCATCGGCGATGACTGTAGGCACTGTGAAGTCGCCACAGAGCAATCTCAAGGCGAGCTCACGAGACGACTCGTTCAAAAGCCCTTTGCCTGATGCGCCGTCTTTCAAGATGTCCAAAAGCAGCTTGCTCTCCGAAGTGCCCTTCTCTGCATTTCCAGACGACCTTATGTGCCCTGCGGAGTGGGTGACAGATTTGAAAGACTTTGCCTGACCGTGACTGGAAAACGCGGACGACGTATACTCGGCCAAATACTTGCGGAACCACTCATGGAATCGCTGGGCTTTGCTCATCGTTGCCTTGAACTGGCTTTCCTGCGTCGTGCTGGACTGGCTTGATTCAAGGAAAACTCTGAGCGAGGCCAAAGTAGACAGAGCGTAGCCGGCTAGGAAGGATGGATTGTGACTCAGGTATTGAGACCCTCCAGCGAGCAGATACTGGCTTAATCCCAAAGCATCATCGGCGCATTCTGAGTCGACAATGAAGCTGCGAATCGAGTTGAGAAGCATCTCAAGGCAGTAGGACTCTAGTGCCACGGGTCCGGCCAAGCAAACCACGAGTCGAACTTTTCGGAGAACCGAGCAGGCGTGTAGCGATCCCAGGGCAGGGTGGACAGTGCTGAAAAGCTTTCTGGTGACGGATGCCACCAAGGCTGGCGTCCAGAGGTCGTGGAATTGAAACTCGGTTCCTTGGCAGAGCCTGAAGAGGTTGTGAATTACATACTTTGCCCGAAACATTGGCTGCTGGTTGGGCGGCAAGTTGGCTGGCGAGTGAGAGATGCTTTTGATTGCCTCCAGATTGTCGGCGGCGTACGCAAGGTCCTGATGTCTGCGGAAAACCCTTTCAGGAGAGTCTTCCTGATCAATAAGGTCGAAGAAGAGGGCGACAATATCGATGAAGTTGATGTAGAACGCTTCCATATATAGCTTGCTCCCTAGCCTTTTCCTGATCCGATCCTCTCCTTTGGCCTTGCCCGAGTCGCCGAAAGCATCGCCATATACCATGCAGTACGAAAGTGCGGTCGCGAAGTTGCGTTGCAGGAGCTCCACGTCGCTTGACCCGAGAATTCGAGTCAGATCTGCGCTGGCCGTTTCCTGCCCTCGCATTATAGCCAGCCCAATCGTTTCAGCTTGAGCAGAGCGAAGCAAGCTTCTCAGCTCGTCGAAGCCGAAGATGGAGAATGGAATGTCTTGCAAGGAATCATTCTCCATCCAAGTGTACAGAAGCTGACGTGAGAAGAGTTGGAACAGCTCCTTTGGCGAATCAATATTCAAGTGGTGGGCAACATCCGCCAAGCACCATTTTGCGTAGTCCGTCGCCTGAGAAATTCGTCCGGGGGTCTCAAAGATATGGTATATGCACCGCCTCAACAAAGTCGGCCAGCGACATGCCAGCTTTGCAAGAACCAGCAGCCTGAAGGCGATGCCCGCTGTGTCATCGGGGTTTGCAGGCAGATTATCCAAGACGTCCACAAAGACCTCGTCATGCAGGAGGAGAATATAGAGTTCAAAGATCCCAGCGATCCTGTCGGCAATGAAGTACTTGACCATCATCTTGCCGCTGCTGAGAATGTACAAGAGCGAGGTTCGACACGAATCAAGTCCGAGATTCTTGCCATACGCCGAATCGGCATTGAGAAGGGTGAAGAGCAAGCGGGCCATCGACATCTGAGCCCTCGGAGAAAACAGGTTTGAAGAGAGACAGACTTTGATGAAGTAGTTGTAGAGGTCGCCTACCCTGTCTGCGAGTTCCTGGTTGTCACTAAGCCAGACCTGATGCAGGCCATCGACGACCTCAACGCAGGCACTGAGCGCAACCTCGCAGCACTGATATTCCGAGTCGCTAATGATTACGCCTAGTCTTTGAACTAGGTTCAATGCATTCTCTGGGCTCATGGCGAGATCTGACTTGGTCACCTCGACCAGCAAGCATTGACATGACAGCAGATCATCGTCGGACATCGATAACAGCTCTTCAAGCCACCTGTCGGGGACGAGGCCAATCTGGCTTGCGTCATTATAAAGAATTCGCAGGAGGGCGAGGCGAATCCTCGTCTCGGTGTAAAAGGCTCGCGGACTTGTAGACATTTGAATGTTTTGTCTCGGTATGGACGCAAGTGCCGATGTCATGGTGGCCTTGCTGTTCTGTGAATCAAACTCATCATCAACGTCCATGGAGTCTGAATTGCTCGAGCTGAATCCCAACTGTTTGTGCTCCAGCGAGGCCGCAATTGTAGTCACGAGGCCGAGGAGACCGAGATTTTCGTCATGAAGCCTGCTCAAGTTTTCCGTGGTGAGATCAGGTATGCAAGAACGCAGCAGTCGTAGGACCAGGTGCGTCGACGCCATCGGCTCAACCGAATCCAGCGCAATCGCCAAACTCCTGCTGGCGATATCGACCAACTTTGCCTCTACGGTAGATGACTGGGTAGAGTTCAAATCGGTCACCTGAGGTAGAAGCATGGCGCCCATTATGCAAGCAGACAAAAGGCTCTGAAATCTTTCGAGAGATATCTGGCTGCCACCTTCTCCCGCTTTCTTGGTCCAGGAGTCGCACAGGTCGATCAGCTCATCCACTTTCGGGAATAGGAGCTCCAACGTAAGCTTCCTTGACGAATAGAAATTGCCCGGGTTTGCCAGTGGGGAGGATTTGATTGTTGCCCGCGAATGGTCACGCCGATGAGGCTCGGAATCAGGCAGTCTGTGGTCAAGCAGCAAAAGGTACTCGCTGAAGCGTGCAATTTCGCGTTGCAGCTTCCAGGCCTCGCTGAGTGTCGAGCCGGAAACAGTATGTCGACTGCTCCAAGAGAGGGGCGGCGCTCCGCAGCATGCTCTGAGCAGATTGACAAACTGAGATGGACGAACATGGAGCGACTGAAAGGAAGCGTACGCCAACTCATCTGGGTTCTTTTGTGTTAGTCTCTGGTCGCCGTAGCGGTTTGGGGAGACTCACTAGGGTTCCACTTCAAAAAGACCCATCTGATGATATGGCTGCTCGTAGCCTGGCTGACGCTTGGTAACCGGATGTTTCGTTCGTGGAAAAGACACGACATCAATGACAGAGATGTATCGCAGAGGATTGCAGGCCCGTTGACATCGGCCATAGTGACGAAGCTATTGATGTCTTCCGCAAGCGAGTGATACGGCAGGATGCCTGCCTCCAGTATGGTGTGCAGTAACAGGCAAGACGCACGACTAGTTGCTGCAAGGCTGAGGGATCTCGAAGCCGCATGCCATAGCTGTCTCCATACATCTGTCTGACCATCACACAAGCCAGGCACTGAGACGCAACTTCACTCTGTCAGCGATTTGAAGGGTATATAGGACAACAGGAGCAGTACCTTGCACAAGCGATCAGAGCCCAAGATACCGTTGCAGCATTCTTGTCCGAGACACGGGAAGCCAACTCGACGAGCAGCTCGGTCAGCTCTTCCAATGCCAATGCGTTGGCAGCGACCAGGAATGGAACCAGCTGCAGAGTCGTCCTCTGGATGCCAACGTCTTTTGACTTGAGCTTGAGTTTCAGACGTCTCGAGTTCTCCCGCAATCGTCGCTTCTTTTGAAGAGGCTCGACGCCGTCATCCCCAGGGCCAGGTTGCCTCTTCCCGGGTCGAAGCAGAATGGCCTCCAATAGCGCCAGACTCTGGACCAGGGCCCAGTGGCCCTCCCCCTCGGCATTGTACTGGCGTAGCCCGAAAAGCCCGAGTCGCAAAGAATCGTCCGGGAATGCCGATGCATTGAACGTGAGATCATTGAGCTGTAACCGAAAGGCTTCGCCTCGCTTCGAGTACTCAAGCCACAAACGCTCGATGAGCTCCTCCACGTCGCTCCGTACTCCAATGTCCCAAGTGGTGACGGCTAAGTGCTCAACGTGCAGATGTGTGAGGATAACGGTTCGAGAAATCTCATTCCTCAACGCTCTGATGAGCTCGTCCTGGGAGACCTTGTCGGCACGCCACCAATAGCTCATGAGAGGCAAAAGATTTTTGACCAGGGTGTTTGCAAAAGCCAAGTCGTCGGCCTGAGTCGCGGCAAACGTGCTGTTCGCAATGGCAAAACAAATTGTCTGCGTGGAACCAAGGCTGAGGTGCTTCATTCCCAACACCCCCAAGACCAAATCCGTGATATCCTGGGATCGCCGCGCGACAGGTGCATTGGCTGCTTGAACCAGGTGGCTCAATCCTTCGAGAGAATCCCGAAGCGGCCCTCCCTCGAGCGGATTGGCACGCTTCTGGCTTGGGATGGAACCATTTGACCTTGATGTCGACCACGGAGTGGAGGCAGCGGCAGGCGAGTCGCGGCTTAGGGGCAACGCATGGGGCTGTGCATCGCTCGGGAGACTATACTCGGCCATGTCAAGGAGGAAGTCGACACAGCCTTGCCATGATGAAGCGCTTTTCCTCGCAAGGAACTCGACGTGGGACGGACGAGCAAGGACCTCTGCCAGAGCCTTGACGTAGTCCTGGACCAACGGCTGCACAAAGTCCTCGTTTGGGCCGGGGAGCACCTGGGTGATGTGGTCTATGAGGGCGAGCAACGTCTTCCGTCCGAGCCTGGAGACGCCCCGGGCGGCAGCCACTCTGACGGCAGCGGCACATTTCGAAAGTCGTGAGGCGGCGCCATTGCGCTTTGGCTGAGTCTTCTTCTTGTCGTAAAAGACGGGCTTCTCGCAGAGGACGAGACTGAAGATGGCTTCGAAGATGTCATGGTAGCCCTTGTCTTCTAGTGCAGAGCTGTTGTCCATCGCTTCTCGTCAGGATTCAAGCTTGCCAGAGCAATGGGCCCTTGGAACGTACAGGTTTACGGCTCTATTCTTGAGGAGATGGGTCAAGTCTAGAGAGCCACTCAGGATATGCGGTCACAAGCGTAGGAGCAAGCGGCAGGGCCTACCGTCTACGGCTTTCTCGCGGTCTTTGAGAGAGCCGGTCTTGATATCTCCTGTAGGCAGTCAGCGCTGGATCGACCCACGATGCCGCGACCGGTTACGCGTACTGGCGAGATGCTTTACGGTCGATGTCTGGGTCGATGCCATCGTTCAGCGGCACATGGTTCCTCTACTAATCTTGCTGCAGAAAATGAGCCGCTGGCTTGCAGCGGATCGTCTCTCGGCGTCACGATTTCACAGCTACTCTCCCCGTGGTCGTATCACCACACAGGCAGACACCAAGGCAACCGGCTCAGGAGAGGCTGTCAGACGACACGATGCCATGGCCTCAGGCGGCTGTGCTTGTGAGCGGTCGAGCTTCAGTGACCCGTGCAGCGCGAGTTGGCAGGGCTCTATGAAACGTCAAGACGGAAAACGAAGCTGTGTAGAGACGGGATGCTGAGCAAGGTTGTGCTTTGTACTTCGTATTCGTACCTGCCTAGAAATAAAGCCGGCAGAATGCACACCGCCCGCTGAATGTTTGTCTGGGCCCGCAATAATGGCATTCAAAGCTCTGGCCCACAGCTTCACCGCACCAGTAGAACGCATGGGCGCGGCAAGGCTGCAGCAACCAAGGACAACGCCTCTTCTCGCGCATCGCGACACGACAAGAGGCTGCAAATTGGTACCGCTCTGCGCGCCTGTCGCCGCCCGGTGACCTTGATATCTATCGCCGCCTCGGCCTTCACCATGCGATAGCACTCCCTCGCCAACATGGCCGAATTCACAACATTGGATGCCTTGCAGGCGCTCCACAGAGAGCTCGTCGCGCTCAGCGGCGGGTACGGGGACGGGCTCGAGAGCCTAGACAACGACTTTCTCGTCAAGACCTTTGAGAAGGAGTTGGACAAGCTATGGGAGCATCCGTCCAAGAAAGATCAGAGCCGCAGCATGGTGAAATCAGGTATGGAGCACAGCTAGATTGACTTGCACAAGCAGCGAGGTGTTGACTCCAATCAGGCAAGATCTCTTTGGACGGCAGCGAGTACACCATCAACGACAAGTTCCAACAAGACGTGCTTCTGTTGTCCGACGAAATCGATCTCGACGAGCTCCAAGCGGCAAGATGCCTCCTCGATTCCCAAGACGACCCCCCCGTCTTGGGGCGCACCCTCCTCGAGTGCGGCATAATCCGCTTTCACCAGCAAAGGAAATATCTCCTCGATGCTCTTAGGTTGCTTCTCGAGTTCGACAGCGCCGAGGAAGATGTCGACGAGTCCAGCGCGCTTGAAAGCATCAAGATGTTCGTCGCCGGGCGACTATTCCAAGCTGGCCCCAAAGGAGCGAAACGCCATGTATCGAATTGCATGTCCGCAATGGCGCGCATCAAAGCCCTGCTGCAGAATCTTGGGGACAAGATTGCGGCCGCACAAACCTTGAACCAAGGGGTTGCTGCTGGACTGACCGAAGAGATGGAGACGATTGAGTTCTCACGTCTCAGCCTGATGCAGCAACACGAACTGCTCGGCGTCATCCTCTGCCGCTGCATCGAGAAGCGACAGGCAGAGGTGTCGGATTTTCTAGAATTCGTCTCGACTCTCAAGAAAGCAGATAGATATGATGCTCTCCTAGGTGCGTTCTTCCCTCACCCATCTTCCACTGGTCGCTCGTAAGCTCATCGACATGCCATTCTCACAGTGCATCTTGTGCCTGCCATTGGTGCCTATATCTCGGCTTTTGGGTCGACAGAAGGTGGCTACGATCTCATCAGAGTTCGGGAGCTGAACAATAAGCTATTGCCGCCCGCAGACGACTCTACGTGGCCACTACCGCAACTGCATGCTGCTTTTCGGGCCTGGTGGCTCGCAGAATACAGTGGTTTCTACTTGGATGATCCGCCCGAATCGGCCATTCCGCCAAACACTGACCTTGACGAGGGTAAGCGGCTCACCCCAGTGCAGATGCAGAGTGACGCTAAGCCATGACAGAGGATCGCCACCGGTCGAAGCAGTTCCTCGACTCGCTCAAGGATGGTGCTTTCGATTTCCTGCTCTCGGTCGCTGGCGATGTCAAGTCGCCGGAATGGCATGACTCGGTCCGCGTGGGCATGCGCAACTGGCTCCAGAGGAAGTCTTCTGCTTTCCCGTCAGACTCGATTCAGTTCTCGGGCTTCTTTCAGCTGTGCCTGATGACGCAGCTCGAGGTCTTTGTCGATGCTTTCATATCCAACTTGCCCGATGTTCTCAGAAAGCTTCGCGTTGACGAAGACGAGCAACGGCAGCTGAGCCAGGCTCACGAACAAGACCTGGACCTCGAGCGCTTCTTGCTCACCATTGCCTACTCATATGAAGGGCGTCCTGATGCGGCCGCCAGCTTTTGGTCGGATCCGGACAGCAACCTCGCGGGCTTCATGCACTGGGCGTCTCGACGAGCGTCAACACCGCTGGTGACGGCCTTTTGTGAGATGCTGCAGGCAATATCAGGCAACGAAGAGTGCGCAACCGCGGCCCACGAATTCCTCCTCGACGAGGGTCATCAATCTTCGGGGAAGCTGAGAAGATCGCAATCTCTGACCTGGACTCAAATATTCAAAGAACTCGACTTCTTCTCTGACAAGACCAGGCAAAAGCCAACAACCACCCAGCCCATGAGATACCGCGGTGCAAAGTCGGCCCATGAACAAATGGAGACGGAGCCCGAGTCTGCCATGATGCTTGAGTCTTACCTTCGTCTGATGACAAAGCTCGCCTCCGAAAGCGAAACTGCGCGGGTGTTTCTGTTGCAGAATCCGGGACACAGCCTTGTTGATATGCTTTACGAACTGGCAAGCAGCCCGATACCTCCCCGGCTGCGAGGCTGCACCTTCATGGCACTGAAGGCTCTCATGGCCCGCAAGTCAACCCAGGAGAGCCATATGATGTGGAGTTGCCTGGAGAATTGGGTCACCGGGGGCTATGCTAGTCCCGCCACAGGACATATGCGACAATCACAATCCACTACTCTCGTGTCCACGGAACGCATCCTGGATGAGATGAGCACCGGCTTTGAGGACCCCGAATCGTTCATTCAACTGCTGCTGGCGTTGGTATCCCCGGCAAGAGACAGTAGTCCCTTGAATGACTCTCTACCGTTTCCGGAGAACCTCGGATCGAGCTCTCGGTATCCTGGAATTGAAGTGTACGTGGACTTTGTCATGGGCCTGGTCCTGGCGAACAAGTCACACGATCTCCAGGACAAGCATCAGGTCCGGACGTTGAGGCTCAGCTGCCTCGAATTCATTCTCACGTGCTTGGCTACGTTCAACGAAGATCTTATTGTCATTGCAAACGAGACGAATCTCAAGATTGATTCCGTCATTGCCGCCACAGATCTCGCGACGTACGTTTGCAAGCATCCTTTTGCGCGGGTAATGGAATGGATGTTCAACGACAAGGTGATGAGGGCCTTGTTCAGCACGATCCATCAAGACGCGGCAGACGTTGGCAGCGCTGCTCCCGACTCACCACTCATCTTGGGAATTCTGCGTGCAGTCGAGGTCATCACCAAAGTCCTCGACCTAGAGGCGACCTACCAGAACCTGGTCAGGCCGCTCATCAAGGTCCAGGCTAGTCAGACGCGGCTACCAATTGCCCACACAGCATACGCGTCGTTCCAGGACGGGCTGGTGACAAGACTCAATCTCGTCGTGGACCTCGGGGTCTACTGCGGGATTGGCCACCCTGATCTGACACTGGCATGCCTAAAGCTGTTGGAAAAGATGTCTTCATCCTCCAAAATCGCAGCTACTTGGACGGGGTCGAGCCGACTCGCGCATCGCAATAAGGCCATTGTCGCTTTGGAAGCGAATGGAGAGCACGAGGCGATTTCGAGATCATTCGGCTCCGAGCTCATGGCCCCGCTAGAGTCTCGCCGCGAAGCGAATTCTCCAAACTACATCACGAAAATCTACATCCTCGACTTCCTCTTGCAGTGTCTGCAGTTGAGTCCTAAGGAGCCCACCATTGCGCATCTGCTCCTGGGATTCAAATGCGGCGTCGACTCTCTTTCTGTTGAAAACAACGGTGCGTTTGTGGCCCGGACATCCTTGTTCCACAGCCTGGTGAGGCTGCTGCTCGAGATTCCTTCCGGAGACTCGTCGGGAATGAGACAGTGGCTCATCGCGCTCAAGTCGCGAGCGATGCGCATCTTGCACATTCTTTGGACCTCGCCTCTCTCTGCCACAATCGTCATCAACGAACTTCGAGAAAACGAGTTCCTTTTCCACCTCCTCATCCGCGAATCTGTCATTCGGCCCGACCTACCGTGGGAAGAGCAGACCATATCCGTGGTGCATTTCCCCGTGACGGATGGTGCTCCGACACTGGTTGACTTCCTGACGCTGCGCAGCCTGACTCTGGAATACATTGCCACGGAGCTCTGCATGATATCGCAAGGTCGCATGCCCGGGGTTAAGAGACGAATATACGATGCCTTAAACGGCCAAGTTGTTGGCGATGGCAATCAAACGATTGAGACGCCGACAGCCTTTGACCTGTTCGACTTTCTCCTTCCCGAGGGCCTCTGGGACATTCCGCCGCCGCCCCTTCAGTTCTACAAGGACCTGGATGTTTCTTCCTGCCTGGAGACTGATGCCGACTCCAATCTCGTTTACAACGTGGATCGAGCAAAAGAAATCCTTCTCCTCAAACGAGGCGAGCAGCAGGGACAAGGGACCATAATTGCGGCCCAAGACCTGGTGGCCATTGAGAAGGAAGAGGCCATGATCCTGGAATTCCTCTTGTCAACTAATAGGCAGAAGCAGATTGCGACACTGTGCCTCAAGGTGCTCAAGTCTTGGACCCGGCTGCTATTGATTATGGTTGAATGCAATGATTTCAAGGGAACGGCGCAGACTTCCTTCTTCCTGCAGGCACTCCAAGCTGTGCTCCCCAGTCTCGAAGCCTTTGCGTCAGACCGCCCCGAGGAAGCTTTGGAACTGGCCAGATTGGCTCGAGTGCTTCTCTTCAGGCTTGATCTGGCAGCCACCGATGCGGGCGACAAGCAGAGCCAAGCGATCGGCAATCTTGTCAGCGACAAACTTTACCAACTCTTCCAGATATGCCTTCAGGCTATCGGCAAGTGGGCCGGCTCGCCGGTCTTGAGATCGGTCTACTACGAAATCTGCTACAGGTATCTCACGGGAATGTCAGAGCAGGGACCCCTGAGTTCGAGTCGGCCCAAGACTACCAAGACCATTCAAGTCTATGGAGAGAGGCTCATCAACGTCATATGTGATGATGCCTACTGCAGTCAGGCCAGTTGCCAAACTGCAGCCTTCATTCTCCTCAATGCCTTGGTCCATGTCGGCCGTCAAGAAGACGACAACCACGTCATAGAAACGCTCAACCGGCTCAACTTTATCGGCATTCTCGTCGACTCCCTTCGGAACATTATGCAGGAGTGGCACGAAGCTTTCGCGTCTGGTGGGTTTCGAATTTTTGGGACATCTTGGAGTTGGTTAGCTAACGCTTCGCATGATAGGCCACGGCGACCAGCAAAACTACCAAAACGCCCGTCTTGCACTCCTGCTTGAGATTTCGCAATCCCGCGCCGGCGCCAAATACATCCTCTATGCCAACGTATTCCGCACCCTCGAGACATCGGGCCTGTTCACTGCCGATCCCGAGCTGCAGAGCGACTCGCAGAATTCGCGTGCCCTCGAGCAGCACTACGACCTGCTGGCCAAGGTTGTCCGAATCATTGCCGCGGCACTCCTGAGCCGCGGCAGCCACAACGCTGTTCAGGGGCGCAAATTCCTGACGGACCACCGGATGCTCGTGACCCACACGCTGAAGCGTAGCGCTGGCATTGGCGGCGCCCACGCCAGCGAGGGGCTGGAGGAGCGGATTGGGGAGCTGGCGGACGGGCTTATGGTTGTCATTGCCGCGACGGGGTTTTTGGAGGTAAGTTGGCAGCATCGTCGCTTCTCCTTCCCAGCAGCGTCGGGACCAAGCCCTAATGAAAAGACAGTTTGAGGACGAAGTCACATCGGGATCGAGCAAGGCAAATCAGGCTTTGTTTCATTGAGATCTCAAAAGACGCAGATGGCCAGGAGCATGGGCTCGCAAGGCGGCTCCACTGTCAGGGGAGCAAGGAAATTTGCAGGCCGCGCGGTTTGCTGGCGTTGGGATAAAAGTCGATGGCACGTGGTTGTTCATCTACGATGGGAGGGCAACAGCAGAATAACCTCGATCAGTCCGCCTGCCGAGTCGGCAAAAGGATTCCGGGGATAGACTTGTGGGCTTGTAAATGGTTTGTCTGCGGGACAGAATTCCCGGATATCGCTGGTTAGGAGTATAGACAAATGCTCGCCAATGTGGCCCATTTGGTGAATTGCCAGCTCAACCGTGAGTGCGGAGCCAGCGATGCTTCGAAATCGTCCTTGCCAAGGTCAAACTCCGATGCGCCTGTTTCATGCTTGGATCTGACATCTCCCCTGCCGATGGCCATCACGGCGTGGAAGCCGCCTTCCGCTTGCCCTTGCTGGTTGTGGTCATGAGCTTCAGCTCGAGCGGCCAGAACCCCTTGGTCTTCATGCTGTACGACGAGCGGGACTTCATATCTATCTTGGTGCGACACATGGGGCATTTTCCCTTTGTCGAATCCACATTGAGCGACGAATGAAGGCACTGCTGGCAATACAGATGGCCTTTGGAGTGGCAGGGTTAACGAGGGCCCCAACAGGCGACTGGTGATGGGGCACATACCACAGTGCGTGACCGTGAGGGTCGTGACATCGTCCATGCAGATTGCGCACTGGAAGGCAGAGATCTTGACCCGGTTGTCTACTTTGGGCTTCTTCAGTTCCTCTGGGACCTCATTGGCCTCGGTCAGGTCGATGGTGGTCAGCCCGTTCATGTCGTCGAGCTCTTCGAGCTTTTCGTTGTCGGCGAATAGATCGTCGTCGTCTGGCGGGATTGGTAAAGCGAGCGGCTCGAGCTGTGCCTGACGGCTTCCAGTCCTGGACAACCGCCGCCTCTTTGGAGCGGGCGCTCGGTCGAGAGCATTCAAGACGTCTCGGGACGAGGCAGAAGGCATCCCGACGCTCTGCGCTCCCTCGGACGACAAATCTTGATCGCCAAAGCCGTTTGTAAAAAGCGTATTTTGGGAAATTCCTGCGCTGCGAGTTGTGGATCGTGAGGGAGAGGCCAGGAACCCAAGGCAGAGCGAGGGACGGCGGGAGTGGGGGCCAGAGCCGGTATCGTGCGTGGTGGCGAGTTGGTGCTGACCCGAGTCCTGGTCTGCCTGCGGGCTTGTGGCGGGAAGTGGGTTCAGGAAGGACGGATAGCTCGAGGGTGAGGAGAAATCGTTGTCGGCAAAGACGCTGAGGAGTTGGTCGTCGAACGGTGCGTCGTGCATGGAGTTAGCAGACATGATGAGGGGGAACTCGTCGGCGCTATCATCACCCCAATCGAAGGGAGGGTTGAAGTCGCTATCGAAGTGATGGGACTGCGGCTGAGCCGAAGATGGGCTTCGCGGGCCGATGGGCGTTGAGAATTTGGAGTCGAGGGAAACGTGTGTCGTCCTCGTGGCCGGGGGCGAGGATGCAGCGGAGAGGTGTCGGGGCGAGGACGAGCGAACGAGAGGCGAGCGTTGCCGAGGCAGCGGTGGCAGGACCGAGTGCCAGCTGTCTCTGAGCGGGATCGAGGGGCTTCGGGCGGCAGTCAGCAGCAGCGGCTGTTCATGGCCAGGCTGGCCGGTGGATGATGAATCGGCTGGCCCTGCAGCTGTCGCCATCCTAGCCGCCGCAGCCGCCGAGATCGCGTCGTCGGGCGTTGGCACGCGAAGCGAGACAAGGGCAGACGGTCGGGGGAAGAGAGCGGACGGCGAAGAGCAAAGTGCGGGTGCGTCGAGGCCCGCCTCGAGGTGGAAAAGGCAAAGGGATGGGCGGCTCCAGAGCTGGGCGAGGAGTATCCGTGATGAGGCGGGAATTCGTGGCATGGAGTGCCGAGTAATTGTGCCTTCAGCCCGATGGGGTTTGTCCCGATTGATAATTAATAGTGGTGTACCGTTTACGGGTTGGCGGGTGGCCACATGCCTACGTGTGACGATGAGTACCTCCCTAGCTAGCACCGCTCGCCTTGACTTGCGTTGGTGGCGGGGCCTAGCGCAAAGGGTTCCCTTGGTAATAATAGGTAACAGGTACTGTAGGTAGGTAGGTACCTAGGTATTAAGATGAGGTACCGCTAATAAGGTACCTAGGTACTTAGGTAGGCAAGGCGAGGTACGTAGAACGACAGTGTCCAAACTGAACATCAACAGTACTATGTAAACAGAAGTAGGTAGGTAAATAATACCCAGAGCTGACACCTGACGAGACTACACGAGCAAGCGGGACCCAAGCATTCGTTGAACTGGAGGCAGCATACTGTACTGTAGAGCCAGTGACTTGCTGTATTTAGGTACCTGGTACCTTACCAGTACGTACTTACCCACAGCCAGTGCGGTGCAAAGAGATCAGCAAACATGATGTTTATGCCAAAGCATAACAAGGTAAAAAGAGTACGTCCAGGTGAAGTTTCATTATTATTTACCCGGCCCAACTTACAGTACACGAAAGCACATAAATACTTGTGCCCAGTTGATAAGCCTGGTCCCGAAGAGAAGCCAGCCACATCAGTAATGGCCCAGACTTGAAGCTCGAAAGGGCGACCAAGCGAGGCCTGCTTATCAAGTACCTATGTACCTTGCTATTGTGCAAGGCGAAGCGCCCTGACGCCTAATCCGGCCACCTGGGAAGGGTTTCCCGGGTGTTTGAGGTTCCCCACCTTGAAGGCTGAGTGCATGAAACCCCTAGGATGACATAATCGTGCAAGTCATCGCAAACTCCGTCCGGCGCATCGCGACGACGCTTGAATTATTCGCCCCTTGCCTCCTCACAACTCGGCCCTGGTAGCTAAAGCTGCCGTAAGTCTCCCGGGCACCTAGTCGCCGTGCCGTCATGTGACACTCTCGCACATGAATGCTCTCGCTCCCGCCGCTGGTCATATCCAGCATGCCGCGACGTCAAGCTTCGTCCGCATAGCCCGCCACCAGGCATGGCGTCGCCACGCCAGGAGGGCGCATGTGCGCTGGCTGGCCGATGTCACCAAAGGCGCAATTGCGAAGAGTCGAGGAAGCCTCGCGAGTGTGTTCCACGTCCTTTCGCCTCCGCTGTCACCCATGGATCCGCTAACATCGTGGCACCTAGTTGCATCCCAGTCGCGCTTCAGTGAGATTGGCGTGCAGCAGCTGAGCTCTCACGTCTTCAACCAGATATTCCCCGACGGCAACAAGCCCCCTCCCGAAGAGCTCGTCAAGCTGTCAAAGGACCACCTGAGACGGCACGACTTGCTCGGAAAGACCGCCGATGACTCGGATCCCATCGCCTTTGACCTCCCCCCGCTGCAAGGCCGAACCCTCGACGAACACTTTCACAAGCTCGGAACAGACTGCGCAGAGCCGTACCTGACCCTTGCGAAGCAATTCGTTCGCTCCAGCATTCCGCCAAAACCTCGAAAATGGGTACGGCGGAGCGGCTGGATCAAGTATTATCCCGACGGTCGCACAGAGGCCGTCGACGCGCCGGATGAGGATATGCTCTGCTTCGATACCGAGACACTGTGGAAGGAGAGCCCCTTCTCCGTCATGGCGTGCGCAGCTAGTCCCGAGGCCTGGTATGCTTGGCTATCTCCCTGGCTACTTGGCGAGTCCCAGAATGACCGCCAACTGATTCCCCTGGGCGACCCGACCAAGGAACGCATCATTGTTGGGCACAACGTTGGCTACGACAGAGCAAGAGTCTTGGAGGAGTACGACCTCAAGCAGTCCAGAAATGCCTTTCTCGACACCATGTCGCTCCACGTGGCAGTCAACGGCATGTGCTCGCAACAGCGACCAACTTGGTTGAAACACAGAAAGAATCGCGAGCTGCGAGAAAGAGTGGTCGCCCAGACACCGGACAATGAGCTCGCCGAACTTTTGAGCAACAGGAGCATGAACGAGGAAGAAGAGCTCTGGGTGGAACGAAGCTCCATCAACTCGTTGCGGGATGTCGCCAAGTTTCACCTCGACGTCTCCATCGACAAGGCCAAGCGTGATGATTTTGGGCAACTGGACCGCGAGGGCGTCTTGGCTGATCTTGATTCGCTCATGGACTACTGTGCTGCCGATGTCTCCATCACGCATCGCATCTATCAGATTGTCTTTCCCAACTTTCTCGACGTCTGCCCACACCCGGTCAGTTTCGCTGCACTCCGACACCTTTCCTCCGTCATCCTCCCGGTCGACCGGACCTGGGACATGTACATTGCCAACGCAGAAGCAACTTACAACAAGCTCTCTGACGCCGTTCGAGAGAGGCTGGTTGGTCTCACCGCCAAGGCGCTCGAGTTGAAAGACGACCCAGAAAAATGGGCGAGTGACCCTTGGATGAAGCAACTCGACTGGTCTAGCCAGGAGGTGCGCATGGTAAAGGGCAAGCGCAAGGACGATCCGCCGAGGCCGGCGGCGCGGCAAAAGATGCCTGGGATGCCCACGTGGTATAAAAACCTCTTCGCCAAGAACGACGCGCCCATCGGCATCACCGTGCGAACCCGCATTGCGCCCTTGCTCCTGAAAATGTCATGGGACAACCATCCCATGTTTTGGTCTGACAAGTACGGCTGGACATTCAGAGTACCGCGGGCCGAATCGACCAAGTATACACTGGCGCAGATGACGGCGTGTGTTTTCGACGAAACAGATGCTGCGTTGCGCGACGATAGAGACCACGCTTACTTCAAGCTTCCTCACAAGGACGGGCCGGCTGCCCGGTGTGCCAATCCCATGGCAAAGGGCTATCTGGCCTACTTTGAGAAGGGAACCCTGTCATCCGCGTACCCTTATGCTAAGGAAGCATTGGAGATGAACGCTTCGTGCTCGTACTGGATCAGTGCTCGGGACCGCATCATGTCTCAGATGGTTGTCTACGAGGACGACTTGCCCAAGCCCAAGCCCAAGAGAGGCCGGAAGAAGAAGACTGCAGCCGAGACCAAGGGGTTCATTCTGCCACAGATCATCCCCATGGGCACCATCACCAGGAGAGCGGTGGAAAACACGTGGCTCACCGCAAGCAATGCCAAGAAGAACCGCGTGGGCTCCGAGCTCAAGGCCATGGTCAAGGCCCCGGAAGGCTACTGCTTTGTCGGCGCCGACGTCGATTCGCAGGAACTGTGGATTGCCAGCCTTGTGGGCGACGCGACCTTCAAACTCCACGGCGGCAATGCCGTCGGTTTCATGACTTTGGAGGGCACCAAGGCTGCCGGCACAGACCTGCACTCACGAACGGCGTCCATCCTGGGCATTTCCAGAAACGACGCCAAAGTCTTCAACTACGGGCGCATTTACGGAGCGGGGCTCAAGTTTGCCGCAACGCTTCTTCGACAGTTCAACCCTGGGCTGTCGGAAAAGGAAACCATGGAGACGGCGTCGAGGCTGTACGCCAACACCAAGGGGACCAAGACGGCGCGGCGGACCCTCTACAAGCGACCATTCTGGCGCGGCGGAACAGAGTCATTTGTGTTCAACAAGCTGGAGGAGTTTGCTGAGCAGGAAAGGCCCCGGACGCCGGTGCTGGGCGCCGGAATCACCGAGGCGCTCATGAGCCGCTTCATCGGCAAGGGCGGGTACTTGACATCGCGCATCAATTGGGCGATCCAGTCGTCGGGCGTCGACTACCTCCACCTCCTGATTGTGTCGATGAACTATCTCATCCGGCGGTACAAGCTTGAAGCCCGACTGGCCATTACGGTGCATGACGAGATCCGCTATCTGGTCAAAGACGAAGACAAGTACAGGGCTGCGATGGCTCTCCAAGTGGCCAACGTCTGGACACGAGCCATGTTTGCACAGCAGGCGGGTATCGACGACCTGCCCCAGTCTTGCGCCTATTTCTCCGCCGTGGACATTGACCACGTCCTGCGCAAAGAAGTCGATATGGAGTGCGTGACGCCGAGCCACACGACGCCGATTGCCCCGGGCGAGAGCTTGGACATTAAGACGCTGCTGGACATGGGCCACGAGGCCATGCTGGATCCGGCAGTGGTGCCCGGTGCGAAAAATGCGCCTCAGCTGGACGGCATCGAATACGTCCCCCGCATGCCGGTGATGCAGGCCATGCAGGAAGCGTCGGGTGACAGCCTGGCCTTTATCAAGGCCCAAGTGGCGAATGACGACGAGTTGCGAGAGATTGTCAAGGGCTTCAGAAAGGTCGATGCCGCGGCGCCGCCAAAGGACAAGCGCATGAGCAAGAAGGCGCTGAACAACGTGTTGCCGTATCATGCTCACCCACAGCTAATGCCAATAGGGGAGCCAATGTCGGTGGCCGAGGCCTTGAATTGGCGACGTCGCAATGGACAAGATGAGCGGGGCCAATGGCCGTGGGAGCGAAACACGGGCAAAGGCACGCGGTCCACATCGAGGGTGTGAAGCTTTTGCCTGGGTTTCTCTTGCATCCCCATTTCTTCTCTTTCATGTTACTTGTTTCCCCTACTTGGCACAACCGATCTATCCTGGGCGACTAGGGCAATTCCCTCGACTGTCCTGGACTGTCCTAGCCAGTTCCTTGAAGGTTCGCAGTCGTTTGTATCGCATGGCTTTGGGATGGCGGGGGAGGCTGACGGCGTTTCGGGATGGTGGACAGATGACTGGTTTCGGCGGGCGCGCACATTATGCTCCAAGGGTTCTGTGCCGGACTCGTGTATCTGGCTATCCACGCAAGGCTCCAACTGCAGCCGATTTTGGGTCGACGGAGTCTGAAGATGACGGCTTGATTTCTGTTTGTCCAAGGCGCCCTTGTATGAACACGTACGACGTAATTACCCGGGCAGGCACTTTCGGGCGTTTGCCATCTGCCGAACCGGCTACGTACAGTCAGGTGCGGGCAGCCAGAGATTCCACTGCACCCTCCTGTAACGGAGTACTCCGTATCAGGTACCTGAGGTACTGCGGCTGTGCAGGCATCAACGGCAGGGTTGGGATGGGAAACCAGTGGGTACCTCAAACAATGGCCAGTCCGGGAGGCTTGGTGCCGTCGTTCGCTGCCAGCAATGAGGCGTCGCGAGGTACCTGCTTAGTACCCTGTCCAGTGGAGGCAGGAGCAAAAGCGGGCGGGGATGCTGCTTGCCGGGACGATGAATGCATACTCCGTAACTTCATTGACTGACTTGACTTGGCTCGCTGACCGTTGTTGCGTGCTACCAACCGTGGCGGCTATTCCACCCTTCGATCCGTACTCTGGAATCAGTTCACCATCAGAGCCTCCCTCGAGACGCTCGAGACGCCCTCGACCGGCGCCCCATTCCCACTTGCGCTTGCCGCCTACGTCATCCGAGGCACGTCACTCGAGGCCCAGCTTCATCGTCACTCTCCGAACCACGCAGTCCAGCACGGATGACGACGGGTTGAAGCTTCCCTCCCGTCTCCCGATTTTCCGCACTCGCCCTGAGCTGCCGCTGGCCACGTGCAACTCCGCCTAGGCCTCCGGCTCTCCAAGTCGCCAGTATGATGACGAGTGCCGACCAAGCCATCCAGCGGCTCAAGGAGTCCAAGCCTCCCGCCACCGACCGCTTCACCTACCTCACAATCATCGACAAGTCTCTGTCGCCCGATATCCTCCCCGCGCTTCAGGAGATACTGGAAGATGTCGAACTCACAGGCGACATTGGCTGGGACCTGGTGGAGATGCTGATTGCCGTGCCGGGCAGCGACGAGTGCCTCAGGAGCATTGCTCGCCTCGGCAACCCCCGCGAAGTCATCCTCAAGGTGCTCCAGGTCATGGACGCCATTGCCGGCGCCGAGGACGAGGGCGCCGAGGCGGACAGGGCGTTTGTGACGCTCTGCGGCATGCTCGGCATCCTTCACTCGAGGTTGCAGGTCAAGGCACCCTCGCGCTTCCTGCACACGACTCTCGAAACCGTCTACCGCTCCTACGATCCCTCCAGCGCCGAGGCCACCGCCGCCGTCATCGCCCTCGTCCGCTCCATGTCGGGCCAGAAGCGTCCGCCGCTGCCGACCCGACAGTCGAGCACCCTGCTGGAAACGCCGTTCCAGCAAGGCGACTCGACAAGCAGTGCGCCAGACCCAGAAGCTGACCATTCCGATTCCCCAAACGCAAACGAGCCCGAAGCCATGAAGCGTCTCCTTCAGTCTTTCATCACATGTGTCATCGAGGCCTACGTCAATTCCAACGGCCTGGAATGGGCCTCGAGGCTTCTTGAGTTTACGTATCCAGAGAGGATAGTGCCCGGCAGAATCACCATGATGCAAGCATTCAAGCAACAAGACGAGCTACGGGCCAGGGATGCCCTGGTCGGACAGCTGGTGGTCAGTTCACACCCCGTCCCCCGCGTGGGCGCTACTGACACACTCTCAGGCAGCCGCTGGCGATCTGGACCTTCCCTATGGCTTCCTCCCCAGACTCGACGATGCTCTGCAAGGGCCGATCCGCAGAGATCCCTTATCTGCCGACGTCGACCCCCAGAAGCCAGAGGAAATCAAGCTGTCGACGGGTGGCTTGCTATGCCTCTTGGCCTACTGCATCTTCGCCGGAGATGTTTTCGACGCAGACCAGCCGAGACCCGACATGTACATGTTCCCCGACCACCACCTGCTGATGAAGAAATACCTGGGCGAGGAGGATCCGCAGGCACAGGTCACGAGCAATCCCGGCACAATCGAAGCGCTCGTTGTCATTGCGATATGGCTCGATGGTCAAAAACGCATATCGGCAGGCTCAGGCACAGGCAAAGGCGCCGACGGCTCAGGGCCGGGCTTCATGGCCTACCATCATCTGTTGACTCTTGTCTCCGTCTTCCATCCGAACCTGCGTGTTCGCAATGCAGCGACGGTCATGGCGGGGATTGTCCTGCACACGGACCCGGACGAGGACGACAGGCTCACCATCTTGGAAGACTTGCTGGAGAATTGCATGTTTTCGTCGCTACAGGCGTGCGCTGTCTCGTGGCTGCGCGAGGAAATGGTGGCGGCAAAGAAGGCGGGGTCCAAGGGCAGGTTCAGCAGCCCCGAGTGCCTGGAGTCGCTCCAGTACACCATGTTTCCCGACTTGACGCACCTGGCGGACGCCGACGGGGAGGCGCTGCTGGAGTTTTGGACGCAAAGCTCGCCGTTGCTGCTGCAGGTGGCCAACTTTGCGCTGTTTCTGTACGGGGGTGACGAGTACAGGGACCTGGCGCCGGCAGGAATGGCGGCGGCCATTGAGCATCGGTACGTCGACCCCTTGCTGCAGGCGGCCAAGAGGCTGTCGGCGATGGTGGAGAAGGAGGGCGTCGAGGGAGTGGACGCGGACGCGGGCAGTCTGATGCAGCTGGGTATCCTGACGGACGTGCTGGGACGGGTGCCTCTTCAGTGAATATGTAGCATGTATGTACGAGTGTCGGAAGGCTGGCGGTCAAGGGCCGTCGTGTCACGGGCGTCGGTTTAACAAACGGATGATGGAATCGATGTGGATGAGGGATGGCGATTGGGAAGGGAGGCGAAATTGATTCAAAGCCGTCTGGGCCTCCGACATGGGACGTGCAGGGGCCGAGTGACGCGAGGGCTGGCCGGCGCGAGCCGACCGCCACAGGCCGAGACATGTGGCTGCGGATCCATTGCTGGCGGATGGAACCAGGCTTTGCGGCGGTGATGTCATGCCGTGATTGCCATCCTTGATATCCGATCTGGCATGCCTCCTGCCGTCTTGTTGTGAAAAGCTTGCAGGCCACCACGCACACTTTGTCAAGATGCTTACAGTACCTATACATAAGGAGAGACTCGACAGCATTCTACAGTCTACACCACGCCGGTGCCTGCATATGACACGACATGGCCTGCATGCACGCCACGCATGCATATACGTACATAACTCTACTTGACTTGGCAACGGCCCCGCCGGTCGCTGCTGCTACGCGGGATATTGATCCCTCGCCCCGGCCAATCCGACAAAGCCAATACATCCCATCTCGCGGGCCTCAGCGACGACGAAGAAGGCGTGTCAGCGGCTCCCTTCGCGCGGTTTGCGATCCGAGAACAGTCGTCATGGGACATGTCGAGGCGGCTCCGGCCGACGGCGGCGTCGTCGTTGTAGACGGGCATCGACCGGACAACGACTCGCCGCGGCACGCGTCGCTGCTCATGTCGCCCGATGGCCAAGTCGTGTATCCCAAGCGCGTGCCGCCGCCTATCCACTCCCCCGAGGAGTCTACCATGCCCGGAGCTTGCTTGGACGGAGCGAGATCTCAGACGAGCCCGTCGGCCCGCACCAAGCTGCGCACTACAGAGCCGCTCGGGTGCGCCGCGTCGCAGTCCTCGCCGTCGCTTCCCTCGGCCAAGGAAGATGGGACGACGGACCTGAACGGAGAAACTCGCGATGGGAGCCTCCGAGGATGCCTCACCGAGACGTCCAACTCGTCCGAGGACGGGCCCGGCGAGCAGCGTGACAATGACCGGGCCCGCAAGCTTGGCCGCAACCGAACCGAAAGCCTTTCGGGCAAGATGCAAAGAAAGGAGGCTCTGGTGGACCACGGCCAGCGGTACCGCCGCTTCTCGGTTGGCAATGCCAATTACCAGACCTCGGGCAAGATCAAAAAGGACGGTCGGCTTCGCATCACCATCAACGAGACGGCAAACACGGGCTACATTGCCAAGGCGCTTGGCACCGCGGCTCGTCAGAGTATATCAAAGGCAAAGAGCATGAAGGAGACACCAAGCGCCGAGTCCGCTCCCAGGGAGAATCAGGAGGCCTCGCCGCGCACCGCGCCCAACATCGACCCCCAGCCCCGCCTCAACATTGTCATCATGGTCATTGGCTCGCGCGGCGATGCGCAGCCGTTTCTTCGCATCGGCAAGGTCCTCAAGGACGACTACGGGCACCGCGTGCGCATAGCCACGCACCCGGCCTTTCGCGACTTTGTCGAAAAGGACTCGGGGCTCGAGTTCTTCTCCGTCGGCGGCGACCCGTCAGAGCTCATGTCCTTCATGGTCAAGAATCCGGGCATGATCCCCTCGCTCGAGACGGTCCGGGCCGGGGAGATTGGGAGGCGGAGAGATGCCATGGCCGAGATGTTCGAGGGCTTTTGGAGGGCCTGCATCAACGCCTCGGACGGCGAGCAACTAAAGGGCCAGGATCCCAAGGCGGTCCGCGACGAGGGCCAGGACGACTTTGTTGCGGATGCCATCATTGCGAATCCGCCAAGCTTCGCACACATTCATTGCGCCGAGGCGCTGGGCATTCCGCTGCATCTCATCTTCACTTTCCCCTACACCCCTACTCAAGACTTTCCGCATCCGCTGGCGAGCATCAAAAAGTCAAACAAGGACCCGGGCTATACAAACTTCATCTCGTACCCGCTCGTCGAGATGATGGTCTGGCAGGGGCTCGGGGACCTCGTCAACCACTTTCGCGTCAGGACACTTGGCCTGGACCCTGTGTCGACAATCTGGGCCCCGGGAGCGACATACCGTCTACACGTTCCCTTCACGTATCTGTGGTCCCCAAGCCTGGTGCCCAAACCAAAGGACTGGGGAGACGAAATCAACGTGTCCGGGTTCGTCTTCCTCGACCTGGCCTCGGCATTCAAGCCGCCAAAAGACCTCGAAGAGTTCCTGGACGCAGGGGAGCCCCCCATCTACATTGGCTTCGGCTCCATCGTCGTGGACGATCCCGATCGCTTCACCATCATGATTTTCGAGGCAGTGAAACAGGCGGGCGTCCGCGCCTTGGTGTCCAAGGGCTGGGGCGGCTTTGGAGGCGACCACGCCCCCGAAAACGTCTTCCTCCTTGACAACACGCCGCACGACTGGCTCTTCCCCAGGGTCAAGGCGTGTGTGATCCACGGTGGCGCCGGGACCACGGCAATCGCCCTCAAGTGCGGGCTGCCGACCATGATTGTCCCCTTCTTCGGTGACCAGCATTTCTGGGGCAGCATGGTTGCGAGCGCGGGCGCGGGACCGGAGCCCGTGCCATACAAGTACCTGGACGCCGACAAGCTGGCCGACGGCATCAAGTACTGCCTGACTGAGGACGCCAGGCAAGCCGCGGGCACGATTGCGGCATCGATTGAGCGCGACGGCGACGGCGCGCAAAACGCCGTAAAGGCCGTTCATAGCCACCTCAACCTGCAGGGGCCCAACAGCATGCGCTGCTCCATCCTGCGGGACCGGATCGCGGCGTGGAGGCTCAAGGACACGCACGTGCGGCTGAGCCCGCTGGCGGCGGACATCTTGGTCGGCAGCGGAATGCTGTGCTGGAAGAAGCTGCGGCTGCTGCGGCACGCAGAGTGGAACGACTTTGAAGGGCCCGGCGAGCCCGTCACGGGCGTGGCGGGCTCGCTGACGGGCACGGCCAAGGGCATTCTTCGCGGCATCGGCGGCATGCCCTATCGACTGGGCGTGACGGCCAAGAAGAGGATCCACGTGAGGCGAAGCAATCACCGCCGAAACAAAGAGCACAAGGGCGAGGCCGCCGCCGCCAACATACGCCACTCGGAAGATTCCCAGGACACCATCGCCGATGCCCCCATGACCGGCCCCGGCCCGGACAAGTATCTCAGCGACATCGCAACCAGCGTGGGGAAAACGGCGTGGGCCATCACCAAGGCGCCCGCGGGCCTGACGCTCGCGCTGGCTCAGGGTTTCCACAACGCCCCGCGTCTGTACGGGGACGACACGGTGCGACGACCAATGCGCATCACAGGCTTCCGATCAGGCCTCATCGCGTCGCGCAAGGAGCTGGTGCACGGCATCTACGACGGCGTCACGGGCGTGGTGCGCCTCCCCCTGCGCGGCGCCCGAGCCAGCGGCATGGCGGGCTTCGCAAAGGGCACGGCCATGGGGCTTGGCGGCCTGGTGCTCAAGTCGACGTCGGCCGTCGTCAGCCCCCTCGGCTTCACCCTGCAGGGCCTGGTCAAGCAGGCCGAGCGGCGGCGGCGGCGGCCCCAGGCCCGTGTGCGCCGTGCGCGCATCGCCCAGGGCCAGCGTGAGCGGCGCGAGCTCGGCGGCGACGCCAGCAGCCTCGAGGACAAGGTCGTGGCTGGATGGCGCGTCATGCGCCAGCTCAAGCGCAAAGTCATCGATCAGCAGCGCCGTGGGCTGGCCGGCCGGTACGACCGCGTGCGGATGGATATGGGGCTCATGTTCGAGGACGTGGACGTTGCGCGGGAGTGTTTGGCGCAGCTGAAGGCTGGCACGCACCTCGACGAGGTCGTGGGCGCGTGCGAGAAGATGAATGAGTGAGGCTCGAGAGCGCATCATCACACTTGGTTCGATTTGATAAAGAGACGGCAGGCAGAGCGAGACGGCAGCACACGAGTATGCATTTATAGACGTCCAGGCGCCTTGGGTGAGCTTGTATATACCCCCGAAGCATTCATGCCTTGAATACAAAATCTTGCCCCAACTCCTTGCTGGAGAAACCCGTCCCAGCGAATCAAATCATGGTCGTGATGTGTCGTACCTCCTCGAGAAAGGGTGAATCCGATTATATGCAACACCGCCCGCTCATTTCCAGAAACGCAGCGTGCCTGGGCAACAAGTGCTGGCGCCCTTTTCCCACCCTCAACGCCGTCGGTCGCGGTCGTGATCACGATGACGGTCCCTCTGCCGATCCCTCTCCCTGTCCCTCTCTCTATACCCATCCCGCTCGCGCTCGCGCTCCCTCTTGTAGCTGTCCTCGTTCCTCCGGCTCTCCTTGCGCCTGCTTTCCTCCCTGCGGTACTCGTCCAGTCGGGGCCGCTTCTTCTTGCCGCCCTTTTGGTCCCAGCCGCCCAAGTCCTCAGACTCCTTGAGCTCCTTTGCGCCGAGGCCGAGGCGGTTGGCCCGTCGGCGCGCTTCCTTTGGCTTCGGACCGCGCGGCTCACCGTTCCAACCCATGCCGCGGAGCAGCGCGGCGCCAAACTCCTCGACGGGCATGGCCTCGTAGTCGTCGAGCGTGGACTCGGCACCGGCAGCCGCGGCGTCGCGGCGGTAGGCGTCGTCTTCGTTGAGCGGGGGCTGGATAATGGTTTTCTTGGCCGTCGGGGTGCGTCCCAGAAGAGCGTCCATGGCTTCTTCGTCGGCGGTGCGCGCGGGGGTTGGATACTGCTGGCTGTGGCCGTTTCGCTTCGCCGGGCTCTCTTCCCGTGGGCTGCTGGCGGGTCGGTCATGGTTCTCCTCTGTCTTGTTCTCCTTGACCGTCAAGCCCCACTGAATTTCTTTGTCTTGATCTGCAGGCTCCCTCTCGACGACATGGCCATTTTGTTGTTGCCTCGCTTCCTCCGGCAGCAGATTCTTGCCGCGTTTCTGCGCTTTCACCTCGGTCCTCCAGTCGCGGTTCGGCTGCCTCTGGATGATAAACTCCCTCCTCGCCGCCTCCTTGTCTCTCCGTTCGCGCTCCGTCTCAGCGCCGTCGACGCCAAATCCCGTGATGAACTCGTGCTGTCCTCTGTGGTGGCGGTGCTCGTCGTTGTCCGAGTCCGAATCATGGCCTCCAAAGGCATGGGGGCGCGGCCGCTTGCCGAGGGTGGACGACGCGCCGGAACGGGGAGGCGGCTTCTTGTATAAGGGTGCCGGGGCGAATTTGATGGCGACGCGCCCTTTGTCGTGGTCCGACATGGTGATGGATGGGCGACGTTGTCGTTGTGAGGTGCAATGAGAGAGTGGACGTTCCTGGGAACTTACGAAGGAGGTGGGCGAGATTATAAGGAGATCCACCTTGGAATCGATAAGATACTCAAGCCACGTTCTAGGCTACAGCTCTTGGAGCTGCACAGTTTGAGGCGCTGAAAAGTACGGATAAGGTACGGAGGTACCTTTCGCCTATCAATCCCGCCTCGCCGAGTGGCTGGTGGCGTTCAGATGCGGCTAAAGTCAAGCCTGCGCGCTCCATTCTGTGGCTGGTCGAGCTAATGCTTCAGGAGCTTCTACTCGGTCAGAATGCGGATCTACTTGGCCCTATTTTTACGGCCACTTCAGACAGCGTGTTTGAGGCGCCGTCTCAGGTACACTCTCTTGCAGTCCAGGTATCCCGCCGATGTCGGCTACCACATGGGAGTCCACGAGAGGACGACTTTCCGGACATCGATGATGCAATTTGTGAGGCCATGTTTCTTGTCGCATGATGCTTACTTTCACGTCGTCGCCAAGAGCGAGTCGGCCGGTGCAATCGTCGTGGGCTTTTCGTTATGATATGCATCAAAAGAAAAGACGAGAAAATTCATGTGCTTTGTAACTTACGTATTCGGGACACGGACGTACAGTAAGTTAACTTCGCTGAGCCAAGCCGCGGCCGCATGCAGGGATATACAGTGTGAGCTGCTCGTCACGCACAGGCGGGAAGAGTTTCGCCGAGCTGCCTGCGACTAGGCCGGGTCATAACAACAGGCGCACGCTCAGCGCGACGCGCGAGTTAGGTGCGCCTCGACCCGTACAGTGCGCCTCAAGCCACTCGCCGTTCCCAGTAGGTTAGCAGCACCAGGTCGGCGCATGAGGCGCAGCGTGTTTACTAGCGCCTTGGGTGCTCCGTAAGTGCAGTGGTACTCGCAGTGGCTCTTGCCTCCCCGCAACAGCCGCTGTATCCGCTGCCTCTCTAGCCTCCCTCCCCGCCTCTCTGCAGCTCCCGTGTCGGGCGGCGCCCCCTGTGCCTATTATGCCACCGCCAACCCAACCGCTAACAGCGCCCCTATGAACCCCCCGAACCTAGAAATCACCGCCTGGCAAATTTTGAACGCTGCCCTCCCTCCCCCCAGCTGGCGACACCCTCGACCAGCGACGACAGAGAGCAGCAAAAAAATCGTCAATAGTCTCTCAACCACCACCTTTTCCATCGCTGTTCTCCCCTTCCTCCATCTCCCTTCCTCCTGCTCTGTCTCCTGGTGCATCCGTTTGGCCCTCAAACGAATGTCGCGACCTCCGATGCTATGACTGAGGTCGGGTACGCCGACTTGTCAAGGATCCTCCAATCCAGGCGCAATGAGTGCAGGTAAGTTGCTGCCCATTTGAAAGAGCGGATTTTTCCGATTCGAATGATGCCATTTTTGGGTTGCTGATGGTGCTCAGTGCAATCGTGACATCGCGAAAGCGCAAGCTGCGCGAGCTTTTCGCGGTCGCATCCCAGGTCGACCCTCTACCCGACGATGGCTTCGCCAACCCCGACGCGCCGGCCGCCACACCAGCGGAATGGCAGTTCCTACAAGCCAGCGACATTCTCCAGTACGTCACGCGAACCCTATTTCGCCCGCCGCCTTTGCCTTATTCACTGCCAGCGCGTTTTGCAACTTGCTATACACTCATGATGCATGTCCCCACTGACCACTTCGCAGGGGCAAGGCATTAAACGAGCTCAATATTCCTTCAAGACCCCGAATGTCACTGGAGAGGATGAAGCGACTCGTAGCCGAGTCTGTAAGCGCTGCGACTGGCTGTGCCTTGCTGGATGCACCAGGCTCCATCGCCCGGAAGGATTCATCAGAGGTCCGAGGCGAAGCACAGACTCCCGACGCAGCGTTGGCGAAGAATGCACCGGTCGTTGCTACTGCCGGAGAGAGTCTGTCGCCTGCGAGTCTCGCGACGCCGACTCCGATGACCCAGCCACGAGAACCGTCTCTCCCTGTTACGCCCGACCGACCTGCTGAAGCCGCCCCGAAGCCCGCTGCGACCTCCAAACCCCCGACAAAAGATGCCGGCGATGCAGCGACGCCCAGACCCAACGGCGAACCGAACGGGGTGGCAAAGGGGGACAGCGCCACGAAGCGGCACACGCAAGTCAAGTTTCCTCCAGGGACGAAAGGGTCGCCTTCGGAAGACGCAGCCAGCAATGCACCCACGAGCTTGCACTCTGGTGATGCAAGTGTGAACGGTGCGCTCGACGTCGAAGCTATCAATGCTGCCGCCAAGGACAACGGACCACTCTCCATCAAGCTCCCTGCAGACCCTCCCCGAGTTCCCGACGCCGTGTCAACCCCTGGCTCGACAGCTCCCAGTGCGGCGACTCCCGCTGTGCACGACGCATCTACAGATACTAGTCCAGAACGGGACGGTCCTCGCTATTCCGATGTGGTCGGGAGAAAGGGATCTGCTGCGGGTAACGAAGCCGGAAGCCCGGCGAGTGTCACAGATGTCCAGGACCAAGGATCAAGTGCAAATGATCAGCTGTTGCAAGAATCGCTTCAGTCTTCTGCACCAACCAAGCAAGAGGATGCATCCGAATTCTGTACCGCAGTTCGCACCTCCGAAGAGATCACGCACGCAGACATGGGTCGACTTGCCGTCACCAAGGATATCCCGAAGTCAACCCCTACCTTGAGCGAGCCGGAACGTCATTCATCTTCCTCGGCTGTCCGCCCTCCCTCGACTGAGGTGCCAGACAGCCATGAAGAGACTCCAGATGCGATGGACTTAGACGCCCACGAAGTCAAGCCCGAGGTACTCGAGCAGGCAATCCTGTCTCCTAGTGGAGCACGTCTACCGCATTGTGATGCGCCCGCAAGCTCTTCCACTGCAGATCCACAGCCCAGGGAACAGGCACAAAACTCGGAGCGTCCCGTGACCCGTGTGTCGTCTGGTGCTATGCGGCTCAAATCTGTCACCGAGATTGTTGGAGGGCTATCACGGTTGCCGACCGGCGCACATCGAGATGCAACTACAAAGGGGACACACGACCAGCTTACCCCAGTCACTTCGACCCCCCAATCTCCGGCCTCTCGAGCCAGACACTCCGGCACGGCAAGAAGAGATAGGGTCAAGAACCATGCGTCGACGGTACTGTTCGGGAAGCAGCCCAAGCGGGTTGATGACAAGGCCTTGGTTCCTGGCCACAAAGAGACGTTTCAAGCATCCGACGACTACTACACTCCTCTTTTCGTGCAGAACTTTACTGGATCATCAAAATGGATGCAGCCTTTGGAAAGGATCCTCTTCCAGGCAAACAAGACCATTTCCACACCGGACGCCCACCTCGTGATACAGGACCACCAGGCTTGCAGAGTCCTCAGGAGGGTGTATCACCTGCAGCAGCACGACAAGTGGTCCTTACGACAGCCCAAACGCTGTCCGGAACCGACACGGCCACCTTCCCACTGGGACTTGCTGCTGCAAGAGATGAAGTGGATGCGCACCGACTTCCGCGAGGAGCGGAAATGGAAAAGGGCGGTTGCGCGAAACCTGGCCTATGCTTGTGCGGAATGGCATGAAGCCAGCCCTGAGGAACGCAAGTATCTACAGGTCGAAGCTGCGATTCCGCTCAAGGCACAAGTCGCCGAGCAAGACACGCCCATGGTCGACGTGGGTGAGGGCGGCCTCGAGAACCAGCCTACGCCGGATCTCGTGTCATCTGGCGACGTCGAGTCACCGAGGAATGTCGACGACCTCGTCGAGGACTTTGTCGAAACGGTGGCCCCGTCTGCAATATTTGCCCTCCAGGAGGGCGATGTCGTGTTTGGGCTGCGAAGGACAGCAGCCTCGGACAAGCTGCTGGAGGAGCTGCCGATGTACGGGTCACCTTTGAAGGTACCAAAGTCCGACATGTCGAGTCACGAGTTCGATCCAGATGCGCACTGGCGACGTCTGGCTTTGCCTTTGAGCAAGTACGTCGAGGGAGAGATGAAGCTGGCAGCCAATCGCCCTCCACAAAAGCGCAGTCGTTATGACTATGAGAACGAGGACGATGATGACGACGACAAGAACGGACAGTTTGTTCGGGACCAGCTGGTGCACAGTGTCAAGCTGCCTCCACAAACCGGCGAGGTCGCCTTGTTCAACCCCGAGTCGAAACACATACGCGATCGCCTCCACGCAGGTCACCAGTTCCGGCCTCCATCCGAACACACCATGCCTACTCAAAGCTTCTACGAATCTCGCAGCCCCTCTCAATGGACAGTGGCTGAAGACGACGAGCTTCGCGGGCTCGTGCGGGAGTACTCGTACAACTGGTCTCTCATCTCAAGCATGCTGTCAACCAAGTCCTCTTTTGCGGCGGGTGCCGAGAGGCGGACGCCGTGGGAGTGTTTCGAGCGTTGGATCAACCTCGAGGGCCTCCCGGCCGATATGCAAAAGACGCAGTACTTCAAGGCGTACAACAGCAGGATCGAGGCCGCGCAGCGCGTCATTGCCCAGCAGAACCAACTGGCTGCACAGCAAGCCAGTGCCTCTGGTGGTGCCGTCACACCGATACGCCGGCGGCCCTCCATCCCTCTTAGAGTGGAGAGGCGCCGCAACCAGAAGCACCTGACTATGCTCGATGCTATGAGAAAGCTTGCAAAGAAGCGAGAGACTGCGATCCAGAAGCAACAGCACTCTGCCTCGCAGAACAGCGCCAACAAGAAGACTAACGACGCCATGTCCCAGAGACCGGCCAAGACACCTAGGGATTACAGCCTCATGCGCTGGGAAAGGGACCAGGCTTTGGCAGAAAAGATGGCGCAGTACGCGCAACGTCAAGAGGCACAGCGACGAGCCGCCATGCAGGCCCGAGTACAAGCCCAGGCTGCTCAGGCCACCGGAGCCCCCGGGGCCGGCATGCCTGGCCAGAACGCAAACCATCCTGGTGCCAACCCCAGTATGAACGGGGCTGCTCGTCCCATGTCCAGCCAGCTCGCCGCTGCCGCTGCTGCGGTCGCGGCCGGCCAGAACCGGCCACGCATGCCGATGCAGGCTCCCGCAAATGGAGTCGGTGCCGCCGGTGTCCAGGCTCAGATGAATGGCGGCCTTTCAGCCCCCACGCAGATGGACGGTACACCACAGACGCAGGTGCAGGCCACGCAAGGACAGCATAGGTTGGCGATGCCTAATCAGCAGCCGGACGCCAGCTTGATGCTGCGAGCTCAACGAATCTCAGAGCAGCAGCGCGCCGCCGTACAGATTCAACAAGCACAGCAGCAGCAGCATCACCATCAGCAGCCGCAGCCCCAACCGCAACACCAACCGCAGCAGCAGCAGCAGCAGCAGCAGGGCAATCCCGGCACCCCTGGCGGGGCGAGTCAACACAATTCGCCGCCACTGCGGAACGGTATCAACGGCCTCAGCCAGCAGACCTTTATGAACAACGCGCAGGCAATGATGGCTTCGTACGCTGCTGCGGCCACCAACGGAAACAGTGTTGGTGCGACACAGGCGAACGGCCTCCACATGCCGTCCGCGGCCACCACCCCTTCCCCTGGACAGCGTGCGCATCCGCAGCTCCCCCCGGCAATCGCTGTGCAGCTCAGCCACATGGAAACGAATTTCCGGGCCAAGAACCCAAACTTGACCTCGGAGCAGGCGCGGCAGCTCGCGACGGAGCACCTCACGCGGGCCATGATGGCGCAGCGGCAAAACGCCATGAATGCTGCGGCGGGCTCACCTGGCCAGGCCGGCATTGCCAGCAGCATTGCTGGAACGACAAGCCCACACCAGTATGCGGCGCTGCTTCGGCAACAGCAGCAGCAGCAGCAGCAACAGCAGGGTCAACAACCACCCAAGGCCCAGCAGCATCAGGTTCAAATCCGGCTCCAGCAGCATCAACACCATCTTCTTCAACAGCAGCAGCGTCAGCAGGTACCTCAACAGAAGCCGCCGGCGCCAACGCCCCCGCAGCAACAGCAGCCGCAGTTTCAGCAACACGTTGCCACAAAGGGGAGCACCCCCGTGCCTCCTGTGGCTACTCCGGTCGCTGCATCTGCGAGCCCGGTGCAGTCTCAACAACGCGCACCCAGCGGCAGTGCGACGCCTTCGGCCGTGGGCAAGTAGGGGCCCCCCAACAGGGGATTTTGGACTCTGAAAGCCACATCCTCGCCTCTTGCTACCCCTTTTCGGTGTCCTGATCTCTGCTGGTCAATTGATTTTCTGCGGCGGGACAGCAATAGACAGGAATACGGTCTTGGAGCTGTGCCGATCATGGACGGCACGGATATATAGAGAGGAAGAGAACGCCCGACACTGTAAAGAAAGCGGGTGGATTTTCTGTACATAGTTAGGATGGATGAGTACATGTAGGCTCAAAATCGACACGACTGGCCCGGGACGCAGCGTCGTCGTGGGACGTGCCACGGCCCCCTGCTCCTTGCTCGTGCGACTTGTGCGTCGTCGAGCCAGCAACGAAGACAAAAACCAACCAAAACTCGCCCCGTCTCACTTAGTCCTGCTTTGCCCTGGTTCGGCCTCTGAAGAAAGAACTGCCATGTATTTGTCTATGGAAGAAGAAGAACATGGAGAAAAGATGGGACAAAACGCCAGACGGTGGGCCTCGGGCCACGAGCCGCGCAGTGTTCCGGTCCACCCAGTAGTCATGCCGACATGCCGATTCATAATGGTTACACAAGTAGAGGAGTGCAAGGTCAAAGGTTGAAGGGGGGTATGTCATCCTCTCAACTTGATCCCCCTGCGCCGCCACTTCCCCCTCCCCCTCCACTTCCTCCTCCCCCGCCCCTGCCGTCGCCGTGGAGCAGCAGCCGCGGCTTGATAAAGTCCTCGTCCAGCTGGCGGAACAGGCCGGCCGGGTCCTCGGCGCTGAACAGCTGCCTGATGGCGCCGGTGGCGGTGATGGGCGGCGCGGCGGGGGGGTCGCTTGACGGGCTCATGAAGGCGCTGTCGGGCGGGGGCGGGTGGTTGGGGCTGGTGCGCGAGTGCGGGGAACGACGCGCGGGCGGAGGGAGGTCGGACGTGTCGATGTCGCTGCCGAGGTCCGAGTCCTCGGTCTGGCTACGGCCGAGGAGGTCGGCACGCTCAAACTCGTCGTCCTGGCTGCGGCCGTTTGAGTTCTTACGGCTCAGGCTGCCGGGCAGGGGTGACGAGTGGCCGGACACGTAGGAGGCGGAGCGGGTTCCCCGGACCTCGAGGTTGTTGAGGGCCACGTTGCCGTTCCGGCGTGGGTTGTATCCAAGGGCGGCGCCCGATCGCTTGGCCTGGATGCCGCCGCCAAAGGACTCGATGTCGAACTCGTCGTCGCTGTCGATTTCTTCGACGACGCCGGTGCGGATGCCCAGAATCTCCAGCATGCGAGCCGTGGTGCCGCCAAATATGATGACGGTGAGCACGACGACGACCAAGACGGTCGCCCTGAGGGCGTACGAGTTCTCGCCGGTGAGAAGAGCGGCCAGGGCGACGCCAACGGCGCCCCGGAGGCCGGCCCAGAAGAGCATGGCCTGGTAGTTGTAGGGGAGTTCGTCGTTGACCTCCACGCCCCTACGGCGGGCGCGGTATCGGATGAACCAGTTGATGGCCCGGGACAGGGGGAACACGGCGACCCATCTAGCGGCGCAGACGGCGAGGACGGTAACGATGATGAGCGGGGGCTGGAACTGCAGCGCATTATCCGTGAAGAGGGCCAGCCCGAGGTAGATGAAGATGAAGTTTTCCGACAGCTGCGAAATGACCTGGAAGATGTACTTCGTGGTGAGCTGCGTGCGTCTCGACATGTTGAAGTAGGCGTAGTGCTTGAGAGTGATGCCGCAGAAGAGCAACGACACGATTCCTTTCGGTCACATCAGTCGAGAGTGGTGAGATGACGGTGCAAGGTTGACAGGGGGCCTACCAGACATGTGTACGCCATGCGAAAAGAAGTAGGTGGCGTAGGAAATGAGGACAATGAGGCAGCTTTCAATCTTGGGCAGCCTCCTCAGGTAGGTAAACTTCAAGAGGAGGGCGGTTCCGACGCCGACGACGACGCCGATGAGCAGGCTGCCGAAAAAGACGAGCAGGAAGATGCCGGTACCCTCGAAGAAGCTAAGGATGCCGTAGCTGCTGGCCTCGCCCTTGTTGTACTTCTGGGCCGTCTCGAAGATGACAATGGCAATGGCGTCGTTGAGGATGGACTCGCCAAAGATGATGGTGTAGAGCTTGGGGTCGACCTTGTACGTGTTGAAGATGGCGAGGATGGTGACGGGGTCGGTGGCGGAGAGGGTGGCACCGACGGAGATTGCGTCGACAAACGTCATTTTGAGGGTGCCGGGGATCTGGGTAAAGAGCCAGAGGATGAGGCCGATGACGACGGCGGAGAGAAAGGTGCCGGCAAAGGCAAAGGTGAGGATGGTGCCGATGTTGCGGAAGAAGTTGGCCTGGTGGAGTTCGTAGCCCGAGGAGAGGATGATGGGGGGGAGGAGGAGGTTGAAGAAGATTTGGTAGTCGAAGCTGATGAGGTTTCGGATCGAGTCGCCCGACGTGACGAGGAGGACGAGGCCGACAATCATTCCTGGCGCATGGAGAGTCGGAGGTCAGCGAGGCGGCAGGCGGCGAGAGGGGGAGGGGGAGTGCGGGAGCGAACCGGCAAAGATGGAGATGACGGTCTCGTGGACGGCCGTGACCTTTTTCATCTGGAGCATGTAGCTGGTGAAGAAGGCGGCGATGAGGAGCATGATGGAGATGAAGAGGGCCCAGGCGGCGAAGAGCTCCTTTTGCGCCGAGTCGCCCCCTGCGTTGGAGTCGTCAGCGCGAGTCTTGTCGTCTCTCGACCTTGGGCTGAAGCGCCTCCATCTTCAAGTGGATGTTCCGGGACTGCGACGAACCTTCGGGGTCAGACTCTTCGGCCGCGCGCCCTGTCGAGGAAGAAAGGAGCTGTCAGCAGGAGACGGGCGCGGGCTTCGCGCGAGGGTAAACGCACCGACGAGCCGAAGGCCCATGTCGGCGACCCGGGCAGAGGACAGCATCGTCGCGAATCTGGCGGATGAAGCTCGTGCGCGAGCCTCTCTCACGGCGGGACCCGTGCTGGGTGCATGGGGCGGCTGAACACGACGGTCGAGAAACGGGTTTTGGTCGCGGGCGCCAGGCTCTCTCGACGGGAGCCGACGGACGGAGAGGGCGGCTGAGAAAGTGTGCAAGTTTGTTGCGGCGCTGGTTTGAGGTCGGGAAAAGAAAGGACCCTTGTCGAGTCTCTTCGGCCGACACTCTGTCCTTGAGAGCAAGCAAGCAGGTACGGATACGAGCTCGGGTACATTTGTTTACGTACGGATACCCGCTAACAATCCAAGGTCTCGTCACTAGTACAGATAACCGCTAAGCGTCCCGATGCTACCGGACACACGGCACGGCAGGGTAACTGAGGGTACAGCGCAGGTACTGTACATGCTCTGTGCAACGACCACCTCTGTCAAGCAGGAGGTACCTCGGGCCATTCATCGGTCAGGCAGGCCGCTAAGGAAGCACGGCACAGGGGCAGGCGGAGTTGAGCCCGACAGCGGGAGCGAATGGTGCTGTTGAAATGGGTATTCGTATAGTTACTCAGTGCTCATCTCAAACCAGGAGATGGGGTCTCTTATAAGGTATTACCGTTACGGGTGAACCTGCGCTTTGCACTTGACAGCTTACCTACACGTGTACCTGGCCCCCACGTAAAGTGCCGTGCTCGTACGATCCGGTACAATGGTCTCATCCCACGTGTCTGGAGGCACTTGCACTTGGTACCTGCGAAGTACTTCGCGCCTACTACGTACTCCGTAGGTACTCCGTAGAGCCATATGCGCTTCCGCCACAACTTCAACTCGCGACGTCTTTGGACTCTCCCATCGCGAACCACCAGCAAAGACCGCTACTGCTGCCACCGCCGACGCCTCCGATCCATTGAGTCGCCCCGAGCGCAACCCCCATGACGCCGTCGCCGAGGAGGCAACGGCAGCAGCGGTAACAGCCACGAGAAACGGTCCGCGGCGAGGATCGAGGCCCAAAATGTACCACCTCGCCAGGGGCCTCTACCTCTATGCGACGAGCAAAGAAGGTCCGCCAGCCCGTCTGCCTCGGCCCCTTGCCCCTTGCCCCTTGCCCCTCGCCGCTGACCTCACTCAGAGTACTCCGTCATCCTCCTCGGCCTCGACAATGCTGGCAAGACGACGTTCCACGAGCAGGTCAAGTCGCTCTTTATCCCCGACGCCGCCGAGCCCAAGCTCAAGACGGTCCCGACTGTCGGCCAAAACGTCTCCACCATCACCCTCCCGGACATGTACCTCAAGCTGTGGGACGTCGGCGGCCAGATGTCCCTGCGCAACCTGTGGCAGAGCTACTACGCCAGCTGCCACGCCATCGTCTTCATTATCGACAGCACTGACATTGGCGATGGCTCTCTCGACGGCGACGACGGCGGCCGCCTTGAAGAGTGCCGCCTCGTCCTCGAGGACGTGCTGCAGCACTCGGAGACCGAGGGCGTGCCCTTGCTCATCCTCGCCAACAAACAGGACTGCGAGGACTGCGTCGAGACGATTCGCATCAAGGAGGGGCTCGTCAAAAAGGTCATGGAGGGCGACAAAGCCAGCAGCATCCGCGACTCGAGGGTGCTGTCCATGAGCGCCCTGACGGGAGACGGTGTTAGAGAGGCCGTCGACTGGGTACGGACGAGGGTCCAATGGAATAAGGAGTCCCGACCGCCAGTCATGAGGTAGCGGCCGTTGATGTGCTACGGGCCCTCTTGGGCGGGTGCGTGGTCGAGTGACATTTGGCGCGGCGTCTTGGATGTATAGATTTCTAGCCTGTCGTCGCCGCTAGCGACTGACAAGGGCGGTGCCAGCTATGGCGACTACTTGCATTTCTCACCGGCACATAGAGACGTTGATATTCTTGGTTTGGGGGGTATCGTCATGCCTCATATTTTGTTCTACCATGGTGCGCCTCGGCCAACAGAGGGGGGGGGAGGGGGAGACGCTTGGCCCCCCTCTCACCTCTCGTTCTCCGCCGTCAGCTCTGCCAGTAGGCCCCCCTTGTTTCTCCGCTTGTCGTCATCTCCCAGTTTCCTGTCTACCAGATCCGTAAACTCCTTGGACTTGTTGAGCGCCGTCTGGGCGCACTGTACGAATATCGGCGCGTCAATGTCGCTGCCCCCAAGCTTGGACACCTGGCATATCTCGCCGTGCTTGTTGAGGCTGAAGGTGCAGCTGCTGACCCTCAGCTGCTCCTCGAGCCAGGTGGTATCCAGCAGGACGGCGTCGCCCCCGTCGCCAAAGAAGCTAAAGGTGACGCAAAAGGGCGAGTGCAGCCAGCTCAGCAGCACGGGCTCCCGCTCGGCGGGCGTGTAGACGGTCAGCGTCTCGCCCTGCATGCTCGTCTCGGGCTTGCGGAAGTGGCGCAGCGCCGCGACGACGGCCAGGCACGCCGTGTCGAGCAGGTTGCCGTCATGCGAGAGGACGTGCACGTCGACGCGGACAGACCAGCACTTTTGTCCCGCAACCAGGCACAGCGACTCGGTGTCGAGGGCGCCCGACCGCCGTATCGTCTTTTCCAGCAGCCGCGACAGCAGGACTTCGGTCTCGGTCGGGCGGTTGGCTTCGAAGGAGGGGGCCACCATGGGGCCGAGCTCCGAGGTGATTGTGAAGACGCCGTCAAAGGGGCGGTCCGTGAAGGGGACCGTCACTTCGGCTGAGACCTTGGCCACAACTCTGAAGGGGAGGGGTAGATGGTGTGATTAGCAAACAGCCTCCTTCATTTTCTCCCCCCACTACCATTCCATATGAACGGACAATAGCATGACGGGACACACCTCGTCTTGCCGCACCGGACATCTGCGACGCCATATTCATCGTCGGCAAAGGCGAGCTGCAGCGGCCGGAACTGGTCGAATTTGCGGTTGTCCAGGCGCAGCCCTTCTTCCAGGGCCCTTGACACAAAGGTCTTTTCCGAGAGGGAGGGCGAGGCTTCGCGAGGCATGGCGGCGCCTGTCAAGATGCGCTTCAATTGGGCCGACGAAGATCCTCTGGTCCGCGCTTGGCATCTCGGTGAATTGCGTCCGAGATCGTGATGGCGGCTGATAATTCTGCCGGGCGGTGTGGCTCGACAACTCGATAGGACCCACTCTCCACTGCCTCTGGAAAGAACACGGGCAGATAGCCAGATACAATCCTGGACCACCTCAACTGAGGCTCAACTTACGAAGCGCGTATTTCGGATCGGCACATTTCACTCGACGTCCTGGGAGCAATGACATGCCAACAACTGTTGTGTTCGCAAAGGAACCGCAAGATGGCTTACAAGCTAAGCTGTCCTTGGGTCGAACTCGCGTCCGCAATTTTCCCTCTAAATACACATTGAAGGCATCGCCTTAAGTCCTAACGGCACCGACCCTCACAGCTCCTTGACGCCCGCCTGCATGGCCTTTATGTGACCCCAGTCGTTGCTGTCCTCGGTCATGCTCCAGGCAAAGACACCGCCGAGCTGCATGGGCTTGACGATGTCGTTGAACTTGCGAGTCACGAGCTGGGGCGTGTCCCAGGTCCAGTACTTCTTGGTCGCCGGGTCCCAGTACCACTGGCCTCCACGCTCAGAGTCCAGGTTGCCCTTCTTCAGGGCCTCGGCGAAGGCGGGGTCGCTGAAACTCTGCGTCTCAAACGTTACGGCCCCAGATTTTTGCGTGTCGGTGCCGTTCTCAAACTCGAGCAGAACAGTCGGGCAGCCGACGGACTGCGTGCACTCGCCGTCTGTCTCGAAAAACTTGGCGTAAAGAGCGAAGCCGAGATTCATCTTGCTGGCATTCACGCCGAGCTCCATGTACATTTCGATTGTTGCCTTGGAGTCCACGACGGAGCTTTGGTGGTTGGTCACGTTGTCTCGGCGGTTCATGATGTCGTACGTCATGACCTGATGGAGCACACACTGTCAGCCAACGACCGCTCGCTCTGGAAGCCGCTCGTCACTCACGTTGACAAAATCGACGGCTGCGTTGACCTTGGGCATTTGCTCAGCGGTGTAGGCAATCAAGTCGGGCTTCCTGGCGGGCACGGCGATGGACAGCTCCTTGTCTCCAATGGCCTGCTTGATCTCGGACAGGAGCATCGGATACGACTCGATCTCGCTCGTCTTCTTATCGTTGGTTATGTTCTTGTAGTCCTCGCCGTTGCCACCGGGGTACTCCCAGTCAACGTCTGTCAAAGGGGTCAGCGGGCATGCTGGGCGAGGATGAGACGTATGGGCTTGGGCCAGCAACTCACCCACGCAGTCATAGCCCAGCTTCTCGACGGTGTTGGCCACGTTCTTGGCAAAGGTCTTGCGGGACTCGTCGGTGGCAGCGCCGATGCCGAAGCCCTCGAGGTCGCCCCAGCCGCCAATGGCCATGCACACCTTTGTTCCGCTGTCAAACATTTCGCGGATCTCATTGAGAGGCTTGAAGGGAGTGTATTCGGAGCCGTTGTTGAAGGTGGCGGAGGGAGCAAAGGCCGTGATGACAACGTTGACGCCGGCGGTGATGTCCTTGGGGGGGAGAGTGGTGAGGTGGTATCTGAGACGAGATCAGAAAGACGCCGGCACGATTGGCAAGTTTTGCTTGCTTAGACGCGATGGTGAACTCACTGGTCCAAGTACATGATGTATCTCGGGCCAGCCGAGGCAGCAGTGGCTGCAGCCAAGACGTCCGACGCGGAACAGCGCATCGCGGTTGGGGTATGGAGCTTGAATGAGAGTGGGCGACGACGAAGGGTGGCGCTGCCTTGCAGGCTCAAGGGAAGTGAGTAGTGTGAGAGTTTGATTTTGGTTGTTTCAAGGTGAAAAGAAGGGTCGAGGCTTGCGAGCCAGAGAGGTCGAGAGAGAGAATTAGGCCGTCAAGGCTTGAAGTTGATTAGGGAGAGTATGCGTGTGTGTCTTGCTCTCCCTCTCTTTTTCGAGAGTCTCCGGCATGGGACTCGGGCATTTATAGGGGCACGGGATGGGGAAGAATTCATTGATCTGGATCAGGAGCTAGAAGGGAACTCGCCGGTCACTTCGACCGAACGCATTATTGAATTCCGGGACGTCAATCACGCACGGCAGCTAACAAGAAGGCGCATGGATGAGACGACAAGGCTTCTGGAAGCCTGGCGGCCACGCTTGACTGGTTGTTTTGCATCTCATGTTCTTAGAGGAAGTCGAGGGTTTAGAGTCGCCCCCGCGGCATGCTTACCTACCAGCTTTTCCCCTGTTTGCTGGATGCTGTGGCAGCTGTGGGATGGCCTGAACTTCTGAAGTTGAACTGCACTAACAAGTTCCCGGGGCGATCCCTCTCTCTCTCGCGGACGAACCATATCGAGACCGCGGCCGCTTACTCTAGCCCATCACTGACCAACGGCGGCGTCTAGACTTTTGGGCTTTCGTCTTCAGCCTCAAGCCCTCAACCACCAAGTATTCGAAATGGAATTGATATTCCGCAGTCCCAACCCGGCATCATTGTTCTGACCGGGTTATTTGCTTCCAATAACGGCCCCGAAATACGAGAGGCAAGACGTGTCTGTGAAACAAGAAAAGTACAGTACAGTACAGTAGGTACTTAACTTATGTCGTCAAACCGCCTGCATGTGCGCCTCGGACGCACAATCCCTTTTTGCCAAGCCGAGGACGGGGGGGAGAGGGGGAGAGAGCGTTCCTCGGCGCCTTCCTCCAACCCCCACGCTGATACAGTGCTATGTACAGTGTGGCACAGTACGGGCCAGCTCACCTCGCTTTCTCACCGCCCGTCCCTACGGCCAACAAGCAACTCGGCCATTATCACCACTCGTCATTCTCCGCCCTTTTCGAAGCGTCGGCCAATCATCCTCGCATCGGCAATGTCAACGGACTGCAACCACCACTAGGCTCTGTACACGCAGCGTCTTGGGCCCGCATCAACAGCGCCCCAGGTCCCCGAGACGATGGAACCGCTGCCGTGCCGTCCTGTCGTTTTCCATGCAGTCATGCCATGATGCAAAGCTCGAGTGACGGGTGTCATGTGTCACGTCTATCTTGCATCCTCGTCGGCGGATGACAACGGGGGACGGCCCGCGTCGTCGTCGGCCTGACCACTTGTCTCACCTCGCACCCTTTACGTGCAGGACCTATCTTTGGAAACCACCGTTTCATCCAACATCTTTCAGCCCCTCGAGCTCGCCCGCCCTCTAGCAAGGGTCGCCGTGGTTGGCTGCGGCCGCAAGCCACAGAGAGAGAGAACACAACGCCCGTTGTCAAAAATGGAAGGCCACGAGCCCTTTCGCCCTGTCTTCGCTCTACCTTCTCGATTGAATAGCCGTCTCTGCCCGCAAGGACATGAGAGGCGCCCTGTGCCCAATGACCCTGGCCTGCAACCTCTTCGGCACTGCTGCTGAGCATGTCCCGACCAGCCAGAAACCAACCTGAGACAGGCCTCTTTGTCGCTGGCATGGAGGCCGTTTCTACGGCGGCGCGCGTTTGCCGTGCAAGACATTCAAGCATGCGCTTTTATACCAAACCCATCTGACTAAAGAGTCCTCAATGCTCGTCCTACCGTCTGCATCCCGCTCGGCCCCAGTACTTGAGCTCTCTCCTTGCATCATAGATCCACCACGCTCGCCATGGACGAGACCACCGCCCTCCTCGGCAGCCAGTCGCCGCCTAATGATGCCCGAGTGCCGCCATCATGTCGAGGACGGAAACCACAGACTATTGTGCTTCTCTTGTCCCTCCTCGTCCTTTTCCTGTCCTGCTCCGACTCTCTGAGCGCTGTCCCCTCGACCAGGCTACTCGAGGACGCCATTTGTCGTCGCTACACCGTCCGCAATGCCACGGAAGCTCCCATCGACGAGCAATCATGCAAGGCAGACTCAGTCCAGTCCGAGCTTGCCTATTTGAAAGGCCTCATGGACACCCTCGAGGCCGCCATTGGTTCGTCGTCTTCCTCTCTCGCCATCAGCACGCGTCCACTAACACCCGCCAGGTCTGCTGGTTGCCTTCCCATACGCCGCCCTTTCCGACAAGTAACCATCTCCTCCTTTCTTCCAATCCCTCACTCGTCGCTGGGAACATGAGCAAGAGCTGACTCGGGCCTCGGCAGGATCGGACGAAAACCCATCTTGCTACTCTTCATTACCGGCTACTTCCTCTCCTCGGCATGGAACGCCCTTGTCATTTACCGCTCAGAGACGCTGCTCCCCCATACCGTCCTCTTTTCGCCGGCATTCTTTCTCATAGGTGGCGGGAGATGCGTCGTCATCTCTGCCCTCCACTCCGCCGTATCCGATGTGACGACTGATGACCACAGGCATGTCTCCATCTCCCCGATCATGGCCGCCCGGAAGCTAACTCGACGCGTTGTTTTAGGGCATCGGGGTTTCTCGCCATCATGTTTGGGACCCTGGCGGGGTCCTTTATTGGACCTGTCGTATCGTCGGGTCTCATGCAAATCACCTCTCCATGGGTTCCATACCTCATTAGCTTCGGCATCATGCTTCTTGGAGCGGCCATGCTGCTGCTGATTCCCGAGACGTTGTCCCCGAGAAAGCTAGATGCGGACAAGCAAGAGCCCATCGACGACACAACCAGGTCCATGCTCAACTGGCACCTTCGACGTTGTGTCGCACAGCTCAAGGAGTCGCTCGACTTGCTGAGGCAGCCCGCCTTGGCCGTCCTCCTCGTCACCTTCCTTGCCCCCATGCCCATGATGGCGGCAACAAGTCAGTTTTTTGTCCAGTACGTCAGCAAGCGCTTCGAATGGTCGCTCGCTGCCGCCGGCTACCTGCTCTCTCTCCGCGGGACCGTCAACATGCTGCTTCTGCTCGTCATCCTGCCGGGCCTCTCCACGATGCTCCTGTCGCGAGCCACGGCCAAGGGACGGTCTGGAGCCGCCAAGGACCGCGTCCTCGCCCAGTCCTCCGCCGTCGCCCTCACGCTTGGCTGTCTGCTCATGGCCAGCGACCGCATCTACGTCGTCGTCACCGGCCTAGTCGTCAACACGCTTGGCGCCGGACTAGCGGCCGTGTGCAGGTCCTTGGCCGCCTACCTCGTCAGCGCCCACCACACGGCTAAGCTGCAGACCCTGATCGGCATGACCGAGGCGCTAGGCTCGCTCTTCGCTGGCCCTGCCCTGGCCGGCATGCTCTCTGCCGGCATGAAGAGCGAGGGCGCTTGGATGGGGCTGCCATATCTTGGCCTGGCCGCCTTTCTCTCCCTAACCACCCTGCTACCTCTTTTCTTTGTACGTTTCCCTGCAGGGCTGACAGCCCAGGCCTCCGATGACGACACCGACCCCGCGTTTGCTTGCGCGCGGGGTCTGGACGGAGGCTGCCCCTTGGGATCTCACTGCCCTGGACATGCACCCTTTGGCTCTGCGGCTTGAAACAAGCCGCTTACACGTGCTAGTCACTCGACATCTCTTTTCTTTCTCTTGTGTTGGAAATTCCTCCCATACCCTTGTCGGCTGCATAATCTTCGTTGAACAAAGTACAAACTTCAGGATGGCTTTTCTAGTCCTCGACGCCATTTATTCTCCTTTCTTGTCTTGTATTTCTCTTTATTCCTACAAGGGCTACATCTTCCTCTCAGGACCAGGTACAGCATAGGGCTACTATAGGCTGGCACACTTTTGATGGCCAACCTCGTGTGTCTCCCGCGCCACGTGGCACCCCGTAGCCGTCTTCAGCAACCCCTCCTCTCGAACCGTCCCGTCCTGTGGCCTCGACTCCCTTGGGCTTCATCAGGGGTAGAGATTGCTCCGGGGTATCGTCTTTTTTTTTGTCGTTCTCTCTTTTTGTTTCCGTTGTTTTCGCCGGCCAATCGAGACCATGGCCATTGTTGCATACCCTGCGTTTCCACTGATCTGCTGACCGTAGACGGGGTGAGCTCCACCGGTCCTCGGTTTTCTTCCTCTTACTGACACCCGGGGAAAGGGGGGGACAGACAGCGTCACGTCCAGGGTTCCCCTCACCTCCCAAATCATCCGCGGTACCCGCCATCAAACCAGGCTTCTTCTCCCCTTTCAGACAACCGCCCCCACCTTTCCGAAGTCGTGAAGACAGATGACGATTATAGTTACACTCGAAAGCGCACGCGAGCGCGCAAGCCACCTCTCCCTTGTTCCTTTTATGCGAGAGACAAGATGTGAACGAAGAGGAGGAAAAAACCGAAGAGTGCGCGCAAACTGCCGAGTGGTAGGTGGCTGTTGCTGCTGTTTTAGGGCCGACCCACGCGATGCCCCCGCGAGCGACCCTCACGATGGTCGTACTAGTCCCACCGCCCGCCCTCGCGCTCGGCCTCGAGACGCCGCATGCGCTCCTCGTCCCCGTCCCGCGCCTCGCTGCGCCTGCTGGGCCGCCGCGCCTTGCGCCCGCCGTCGTCGCCACTGTCGCGCCCGCGCTTCGACCCGGCCAGCCCCGCGAAGCCTGCCATCCGCTGGGCCTCCTTGAGCAGCCGCTCCCGATTGCGCGCCTCGCGCTCCAGCGTGTGCGCGTCCTTGGCCGTGCCGACCTTGCCGGCGCCTCCGTGGGAGTCGTGCTGGTCGCGGTCGGCGCGGTGGTCATGCGATGCGCGAGAGCCCGAGGCCCGGCCGCCCTGGCCGCGTGGGCCGCTCGGAGCGTCGAGCGCCTTGTCCGGCGACGACGATCTGCGGCTGACCGAAGGACGCGCGGTGCTGCTGCCATGTCGAAGATCCCTCTCGCGGTCCTTTCCCTTCTGTCGCTCCCTGCGCTCCTTCCGATCCTTGTCGCGGTCGCCGTCCCTGTCACGACGTCGTGAGTGCTCATAGTCACGATCACGATCACGCTCGCGGTCGCGATCATGGGAGCGGCGAGATCGGTGGCCCGACTTCTGGCGGTCATCTTCACGATGTCTGTCTCGATCTCTCCGACTGTCGTGCTCCCGGTCCTTGTGGCTGCGATGGACTGGTTTCCTAGACTCGTCAGGGGACGCGGACCGCGACTTCTCGGCATACTTGTCCTCCCTTGGGTTGCGGTGCTCGTCGTCATGGTGTCGTCGGCTGCTTCGCGCCTTCTTGCGGCGGTGGCTGTCGTCCATTTCGCCGACGTCTGCCGAAGGGGAACGGCGACGCCTTTCCCGGTGAGAGCTCTTGCGGCTGCGGCTGCGGCTGCGGCTGCGACTCTGGGCCCTGTTACCTTTGCGTGACCCTGAGCGCGAGCGGTCTCGGCTTTGGGGCAGGACGTCGCGACTGCCCAGGTCAGGCACGTCATGGCCCACGGATCGTCCTCGACTGAGGTCACGCGAAGAGCCAGTGGTCTTTTCATTCTCACGGTCAGGGGATCTACTCCTTGGACGAGAAGTGCCATCGGCGGCCGCCTGCTCCTCGGCTCCTACCGTGCTCGCCGAGGCCGGCGCGGCGTCCACTTGGTAGCCCCGAGCTCGGAGATGGTGGAGGCTGGTGTTCGGCAGGCCCTGTCTCATGGCTTTGGGGCCAGTCGGGGCGTTGATGGGCACGTCTGGCGTAGATAAGACTGAGCGGATGGTTCCACGCTCGCTGGTGGCGGTCCCCTTGTTATGGGACATGGTTCCGGCAGTCTCATTGCCTAGGTTCTCACGGGATGCAGGTTGGCTCATGTCCCCGTGTGCCACGTCTGCATCACCGCCTTGTCCAGGCTTTTGTCCCGTGCCCTGGCTTCCTTCGTCGCCAATCTGTCTGGCAAGGCCGACAGCGTGCTCGCCTGCCGGTTCGCCGTCTCCCTTTGCGTCTGAAACGAGCTGTCCTTGAGTAGAGTGGCCGGGTCCATGCTGTGACTGGTAACCTTGGTCCTGGGGGTTCGCCATGCCGCCGTCCTGGTGGTATCCGCCTCGGCTGTGTCCGCTATAGTAGCCGCGGCCGCGGCCTCGACCACGCCCGAAGTTGTTGCGGCGATAGTCATTGAACTGACCGTAATTGCCTTGATTGTATCCTGTCTGGAATCCTGCGTTAAAGCTCCCATAATCACCGGTGCCCATGCCGAGACCACTTTGATTGTAATTATTCTGGTCGAAACTCCACGACTGTGAACCGTTCCAGTTATTATTGGAGCCTTGTCCGAAACCCCCTCCGTAGCCTCCCATGCCGTTCATGCCGTTCATGCCGTTCATGCCGTTCATGCCCATGCCTTGAAAGCCACCGTTCATGTACATGCTTTGCATCGTCATCGGGTCCATGCCCATGCCTGCAAATGCGTTAGCTCTTGCGCGAAGGCGGTCGAGGCGCCAAGGAGGAGGCGCCGTACCCATCATGGGAAAGCCGCCAAACGAGTTGCCGCCCATCCCGTTTTGCATGGACATCATCATTTGCATCTGGTTGAAGTCGCCGGACCCGGGAAACACCATGCTGTTGGAGAAGCCGCTGTCCATGCCGTAGTTGTTGTGGTCGGTGCCCTCACCCTCGGGGACTTTGGCCTCGTCTGTTGCAGCTTGCTTCGGATCCACGGGGCCATTGGTAACACGAGCTTCGAGGGCTTCTTCAGCTGCAGAGCCCGATGGACCATGACGATCCCCTTGCTGTGGGACTTGAGCGTCACCAGACTCTTGCTCCTTTTGGCTTGGCAGGCCCGACGAGGTCTCAGTATCAGGCCGCGTGGCAGCTGCCTTGTCAGCGCCCTGAGTCGCATCTGGCACAGAAGAGGCTGCAGGTGCTTCTTGGGCAGGTGCAGTTCCATTGGCGTCGTCTTTAGCAGCTGCTTCTTTGGCACTCGGTTCTGCGACTGGCAGAGACGTTTTCGCGGCATCAACGGGGGTGGCTGGGGCAGAAGCCTTGGGTTCTTTGGGACGATTTGCTTCCCTCTTCTTCTCGGCCGTGCGAAGAAAGACTCGGATCGTAGTGCGCAGCGACTTGTTTGGGTTGCAATCCTCGGCAGCCAGAGGGGAATGTTCGCAGACTGGGCATGAAGGTGGGAGGTTGGATTGACCTAGCGAGGTGTTAGAAAAAGAAAAGTGCTGGGGGTACCAAAGCTTCTCGTTAGTCGTACACGTCTCGCAAATAGCCTGTTCGCAGCAGGGAAGGCGAAAGGCGTTGACGGCAAGCTTGCTGCAGATGGCGCATCGAAGCTTAATGGGAATGTCGTCGGGCGAGAGCGAGCTGGAGGGACTGTCAGCCATTATGCAAGCTCCAAGTCTGTCGGCACCGAGAAGCGCACCTGATGAGCTCGGCCTGAGCGTCTGAAATGGACGAAGCCATGTCGTCGGCAGCCGGGTTTTCGGGCCCGCTACCTCGACTGCATGGGTGGAGGCGCGATGTTTGTTGGGGGTTCGGTTCGGAGTGACAGGTTTGGCCACGTCACAAACGTGACCGGTAATGATTTGTGGCACTGGAGAGCATGCGAGTGATTGGCGACGGGCGAATTTGCTGGGAGAGAGAGAAGGCTGAGGATGTCTGAGGTGAGGAGTTTTGACGCGCTCGATGAAAAGCGGGCCTGTCTAGAGGGAGCTCGGGTGGGGTCACGTGAGCGCCATCTGCGTCCTCGGCAAGTCTGCCAGGCAGGAAGAGCAGTGACGGGCACCAACAGACGTTGAATCACTGGCTGGCTATTGTCATCAACACTGACTGAACACAGATGCGTTCATTGCGTGTCCCGTGTCACATTTCAAGCCCAGCCATCAGGGCCAAACAGCTGCATATCTAACGAGACGAACGACATTAAAAGAGCAAACAATGACTTGATGACTCCCAAAACGCAAGCTTGACTCCGAAATCCCCGATTCGGCGCTGGACGCCATCGACTACTTGCCAGGGCAAACAGGGGTCGAGGAAGAAAACAGCCGCACCTGGTCCATAGTATAAAGAAAGCGGTGGCCCTAGCAGGCGCAGCCGTCCTTGGCTCCCGCGTCCCGGGGCCCTCCCAAGTTGACTCTCTGCTCCTCGCCTGCCCTGGTGGCGGCCGCACTAGCGCCGGCCGCCCTCGCCGACTTCAGGGACGTCTCAGGAATTGCGTTTGCAATCGCCGTGAAGACCTCGGATACATTGTGGCCCGTCTTGGCGCTCGTCTCGAAGAATAGCAGGCTCTCCTCCTCGGCGTAGGCTTGGGCCTCCTCCGTCGAGACCTTGCGAGCGTCACCAGAACCTTGGCCATCATCGGCATCCTCTCCCTCGGGGGGGGCCGACTCGCCAGCCAGATCGAGCTTGTTTCCCACCAGGGCTATGACGATTCCCGGCGAGGCTTGTCTCTGCAGTTCGGCGACCCAGTGTTTGGCCTTGACGAGAGAGGTTGGCTTAGTGAGGTCGTAGACGACGAGGGCGGCCTGGGCATTTCGGTAGTACATGGGCGCAAGTGAGGCGAACCTCTCCTGGCCCGCCGTGTCCCAGATCTCGAATTTGATTGTCCGGGTGGGCAGGTTGCATTTTTGGGTCAAAAAGGCCGCTGAGCACGTTCCAGTCAGCATATCAGGCATTAAATGCGAGGCCATGGGCGGGACTCACCACCAATAGTAGGCTCCTTGTTCTCCTGGAAGTCGTTATTGACGAACCGCAGGACCAGCGATGACTGCATGCAACGTTCATCAGCACTGCGAAATCTCGGGGTCGAGCATGGCAGGGCTCATAGCAACGCTACCTTTCCAACGGCAGCCTCGCCCAAGAGCACCAGCTTGACGCTGCTGCTCGGCTTGGGAGCATTCGTATCCGCCATCTCTGCAACGCCGGCCGGATCGAGTTGCGACTCTGCGCGCTGATAAAAGGGTCGAGGCCCAGGCAGAGAGCTCAGGGGTAGGGATTTCGGCGATGGCCTTGCTGCGGTCTCGCTGGCTGGCTGGTAACGACGCTCGCGGATGGCAAGGCTGGCTTGAGTAAGAAGTCACCTTTGAGACGCGGAGGAGAGGCGCAACGATGACGAGGTTCTCAACGCCTGCAACCTCAAGTAGAGTCTACTTCGAGTCCAAGGCTTACTACAGGCACTGCTCTACGGGCTCGGCGCTAGCGGGTCTCCCATTTGAGGCGCGTAGCCTGTAACTGATCCACGAAATGGCAAGTACTGGGTACTCCAGACTGCGCCCCCGCCAGCCACGCCAACGGCGAAAAGTTGCGCCTTGGCCGACGATCCCTCCGCAGTAACAGGCGGCAGAAAAAAACACACCGCCAAAAATTCTCGAGAAGCAAGTCTCGAGCACCGTCTTCTTCGCCACCAGGTGTTTGCCAGATCGAAGCCTCTGACGTCCAGGCCAGAATTATGGCTCCGAGTGCTCTCAAATCACGCCCCGCCTCCGAATCAGGAGCTGCAGGGTCGAAGCATCCCAAGCTTACTCTCCTGGAGGACAGCGACTCCGACTCGGATGGCGGGGCACAGATTGAAGAAGCGGGCGGCTTCAAGGTGAATGAAGAGTACGCTCGGCGATTCGAACACAACAAGAAGCGCGAGGAGCAGCACAGACGTAAGTTTCACAAGTCTCATCTGCCTGACTACTATCCTCTGACGGCCGCAAAGTGGAAGAAAAGTACAAGAAAGACCCACGCCGTGCCGCCAAAGACGGCGCCGACAGCGATGGCGACGAGTCGTCTTCATCAAACGAAACCGAGGACGAGGAGGGCTTCTTGGCGACCGAAGACTTGGACGCCCAGATCTCCGCTACTCTGCACGCGATTCGAAACAAGGACCCCCGGGTCTACGATAAGAACGTCACATTTGTCAAGCTACCCGACGAAGAGGCTCTGGCCGCAGGAAAGGAGAAGAAGGAGAAGCCCGTGTACCTGCGCGACTACCAAAGAGAAAAAATCCTGCGCGGCGACGTCGGTGCTTCTGACGACGAGGAAGACTCCCCACGGACGTACGCGGAGGAGCAAGATGCCTTGAGGAAATCAATCGTGTCCGAAATCCATGCCACACATGGAGAAGAGGACGAGAGCTCCGACGACGATGGCTTCATGAAGAAAAAGGAGTCGGCAAAAGCCAATTCCAACGGGGTCCATCCCTCGAGGGCCACGACGCTGAAGATGTCTGAACTGGACGTCGCCAACGCCAACAAGAACCCAGAGACCTTCTTGTCTAATTTCTTGGCTTCGCGGGCCTGGATTCCCGAGGAGGGCGGTAAATGGAAGGCATTCGAGTCAGACGACGATGACGACAACGACATGGCCGATGAATGGGAGCAGGCATACAACATGCGGTTCGAAGATCCCGCCAAGAGCAACGAGGTTCTGAAATCCTACGCCCGAGACTTTGCGGCCGCACGATCCGTGAGGCGTGAAGAGAAGACCGGCAGAAAGCGTCAACGTGAACTCGAACGCGAAAAGAAGGAGGAGGGGAAACGGCAGAGGCGCGAGGAAAAGGCCAGGCTCCGAAAGCTGAAGCTCGAGGAGACCGGGGAGAAGCTGCGCATGGTCAAGCAGGCTGCCGGCGCGGTAGGAAAGCAACTCCGGGAGGAGGAGTGGATGCAGTTTCTCGACGACGCCTGGGACAACGACAAGTGGGAGGAGGAGATGAAGAGGCGGTTCGGCGACGACTACTACGCCATGGAGGACAGAGCGGCCAAGTCGGATGACGAGGCCGAATCCGGCGCGAGCAGGAAGAAGAAGGGCCCCAAGAAGCCCAAGTGGGACGACGACATTGACATCAAAGACATTATCCCCGACTTTGAGGACGACGAGGCCAGGCCGCCGATAGCCCTCAGCGACGACGACAACGCGGGCGAGCACGCGGAAGGGGACGATGACAGCGGAGACGACCAAGACCGTCCGCCCAAGAAGCGCAAGACGACAGACCACAAGCGCGCCCGGCTCGAGACGCAGCAGGCAGCCCGCCGGGAGCGCAGCCGGCTCGAGGCGCTCGTCGACTCCAAGCTCGAGCTCACCAACCACGAGCTGCTGAGCAAGGCGTCGGCGTCGGCGTCGTCGGCGGCCCCGGCGGCCACGGCGTTCCGGTACCGCGAGACGTCGCCGCAATCGTTTGGCCTGACGGCGCGCGACATCTTGCTGGCGCCGTCGGACCAGGCGCTCAACGACTTTGCCGGCCTCAAGAAGCTCGCGTCGTTCCGCGACGAGCAGAAGAAGCGGCGCGACCGCAAGCGCCTCGGCAAAAAGGCCCGGCTCCGCGAGTGGCGCCGCGGCACGTTTGGCCGCGAGTTTGAGGCCGCCGGCCCGACGTACGGCTTTGAGCGCGTGGCCGCCGACGCCGACGACGCGGGCGCCGAGATGTCGCAGCAGCGCGACGGCGGCGGCGACGGCGGCGCTAGCAGGAGCAAGGGCACCGCCAAGGAGTCGAAGAGGGGGGACGCAGGCCAAGGGCAGGGCAACGTCGTGGGCGATGTCGGCGGCGCGCGCAAGAAGAAGAGAAAGCGGTCCAAGGGCAAGGGCGGTGTGGCGGCTGAGGATGCTTAGCCGTCGCCTACCTCCCTACTCCAAGGTACTGTTGAGGAAATTGAGCAGCGCCCATGGCACGGCGCTCAGGGGCGACTTTTCCTAACCCCGCGTCCTCTCGGTTTGCCCAGTCTCAGTACTCGTCGCATACATATAGTTTTGACCAGGCAGACATACATATAACTTTGATCAGGCAGAGATTAGACCAAGCAGAGAATTGTACGCACACATCTGTCCCTATCGCCCATCCATCGGGCTCGTCTATATACACGCCCTGCCCCCAAGATGGCACAAACACCATGTACACGGTCTCAACTTTTGCGCAGTCCCCAAATTCGCCCCCGTTCCAGATATCAAGATCAATGTTTCTCCCTGGGTATTGTCTTCTCAAATTCCATCCTTGGCTCGTAAAAATGCACCCAACGTCCTTATTTCTGTACACGCGCTGAACTCGGCGATGTGGTAAACAAGATGCCCCTCAACTCTGCTTTTTAACTCGACTCTAAATCTCGCTCGATGCGCGGCGCAAACAAATTTACTCCAAAAAAAGGGGGAAAGGGGGGAGTCAAAATGAAGGAAGCGAGAGGAGATGGCGGCATGGCGCTCTCCTCTCCTGTTCCCACTCATCCCCCTTGTCTACTTGCCGGTCCACGGCCAGGTCAGTCAACCACTGCCCGAGGATCCGAGGACACGACGTCGCCTATAGAGTGTACTGGAGGGCATCCAGCTGGTTGGGCGTGATGCCGAACATGTTGATGAAGGGATCGACGGCGTTTCCCCCCATGCCCATGCTCTGGTTCGCGTCGGGACCATTCATGGTGAGCGGAACGAACCAGCCCGAGGCGTCCTGCCCCCCGAAGCCGCTCATCGCGCCCGGCGTAAGTGGGTGTTGGCCTGCGTGGTGATTGCACCCGTCTGCCAGGCCGCCGCTGTCGGGCGAGTCCACAGAGAATGCGCTATAGGAGAGCTGCCGACTAAGGGGCGGGGCGAAGCCGTTGGCCAACCGGTGCTGCTGCTGCGGCATGTCCATCGGCAGCATGTCGGCGGAGAAGAAGGGATGCTGGCTAGATGGCGGCGGCTGTTGCTGCTGTTGCTGTTGCTGTGTGAAGTGGTGCACTGTGGCGGCGCTTATGGGCGACATGGACGAGATAATTATAAGTAAATAAAAGATCCTTTTAGGACTAGATTTAGGCTACTATATAGCCCTAAGACTAAGGAATTTAGTAATACCTTAAGTATATTAAGAAGTATCTTAGATCTATTAATATTTATATTTAAAGGAGGTTAGTCGTGCTAGTATTCTTAAGAGGTCTTAGCTAGTATTCTAAGCTAGCTCTATTTCTTCGATTCCCGATTATATAATAACTAGTAACCCGTTTAATATATAATAATATATAAAATAACGAGCGATTCTTACTCTATAATATAGGGTTTTATCTATAATTAATATATAACTTATTAGCTTATATAATTAAGAGAGTATATAATAGCTGCTTTATTTATAGTAGGAATACCGTTCCTTATATTTAAAGGAAGCTATATTTATTAGCTTTATAGATAAAGACCTACTTATAGCTAAGGACCTAATTTCCTCTTACCTTTTCCTTAAGGACCTCTTTAAAAGACCCTATCTCTTTATATAAGGCTAGGTAGTCTTTCTAGGCCTAGAAAAACTAGTCTTTAAAGAGGTGTTTTTCTAGCTGCTTTTAGTTTACTAGTAGGTCTAAGAGGTTTCTTTTATATACCTTCCTTACTAATAGCTATAGCTTAAAGGGCCGGCCTACTATAAATACTTTATAGGAACTATCTTCTATAAGTATTAAATAAAAGTTAGAAAAACAATTAAAATATAGGAGAGGTTAGTCTTTTTTTATATTAAGCCTTATACCTTCCTTTGCTTCTTAAAGTAAGGATAAAAAGGTAGCTAAGTAATCCTTAAAGAAAGGTGCCTTTCCTACCCCCTTAGCGGTTAAGATAGGAAGACTAACTAAAAAAGCTACTTTAAAATCTTCTTCTTATTCTATAAGAGGAGGTATAGGAAGGTAAGCGTATTTTAGCTCTACCGCTTTCCTATAGTCTTCTTCTTTATTTAGATTATTTAATCTAATAGCTTCCTCTTCTTATTCTTCTTTAAAGATAGCGTTATCGTTAACTACTTTAACGTTTATTTCTTCTTTTATTTCCTTATCTAGGACCTCTTTTTAAGACTATTAAGAAGGGGAGATTTAAATCTTTTAAATTAGCTAACGTTATAAAGGTAAGAGGGGCTATTAATCCCTCTTTTTATTAAAGAAGCTAGATTCGTCGAAAATTATATCCTTAGTTAAAATAACTTTTTATAAAAGAGGAATCTAGATCTAAAGGATATTTATAGAATTATAACTAATAAGGTAACTAATAAAGGCTCTAAGATTAAGCTTTCTTTTCTTCTTTCTTTTTAGCTATATATCGGTAGTTATAGCGTATACCTTATAGCTATAAGTATAAAGGTAAGCTAGAGAGGCCCTCTTATTTATAAAGAGCTTAAAAGGGGATTTTTAGTCTATTCCTTAGTTTAGTTCCCTAGGGTCCTTAAGGTCCCTAGGGGTCCGGTTCTAAAGGTAATAAGCGGTCTTAACTACTTCCTTCTAAAGGTTATAGGGAAGCTTTATAATAAGTCTCATTATATAGGCCCTTTTTATTATAGCACCCCTTAATCTTTCTACCTCTCTATTTTAGGCCTAGGTATTTAGTACTAATAAGAAGGGTAAAATGCCCCTTTTTCGAAGCTAATTTAAGATATCCTATATAAATAGCTCTCCGTTAAACCGTATCTTCTTTACCTTATAGCTAAAGTAGGATTTTATTATATAGATAGGACTATTTATAATTTAGTCTTCTTTAATAAGTAGGACCCTCTTAAGCCCCCTCTTTCTCTTAGGGTAATAGAATTTATAGAGGGAGCTACCTTCTTTTCCGAGCTAACCTCTATATAGTAAAGAGCTTTTTCTACTACCTTAGGCGACTATAAGAGTTACTAAAAGTAGTACCTTTATAAGATAAAGCTTCTAACTACTATATATATATCGATAACGGAATCCGTTAGTACTATAAAGCTAATCTCTCTTTAAGAAAAAGAGACTCTTAAGTAGTAGCTTTTAAAGCTTAAGGCCTTAATAGCCTCCTTAAGGGGCTATATAACTAACTATATTAAAAAGACTTATACGGCCTACCTAAGAGCCTTTTCTACTAGGAACCTACTAGCTTTATCGTAGCTAGCTAAGTAAGAAGAAATCCTTAAGGAAGCTAACTAATATATCCTTATAAAAGCTCTTTCTAGCTAATAACTATACGATATATCTCTATAAATATAGCTTATTAATAATAATTACTTAACTATTTTTTAAGAGGCTAGCTAAGAACTAAATAAAGAAGCTACTAAAGTATAATAATAAGTAGTCTTATTCCTTTATAGCTAGTAATTAACCTAGATAGCTCGACCTATAGCTACTATAGCCCTTATTAATATAGCCCCCGCTATTATAGCTATTACTCCTTTAGCTCCTCCTCTTTTAAGAGCCTTAACCTTATCTTTAACGGCTGCCCTAGTCCTAGCCCTAGCTCCGCTTACTACTCTAGGCCCGGTCCCGTTAGTTAAACCGGCCTAACTAGTCCCCTAATAGACCTTTTAGTCCGTTAGTCGAAAAATTAAGGAACTAGTCGAAATCGAACCTTATTAATATTAATAATAAGGTATAAAAAGGGGGGGTTTTTAAGTAGACCTTTTAAAAAAGGACGAGGATTCCTTAAAGAGATAACGTATAAGGAGGAATCGACCTACCTACTAAGTATATAAAAAGCCTTATTAGCTAAAAGACTACTAATAGGCCTTTAAGGAAAACCGACTTAAAGAGATTAACCCTTTAAAGAGGCTATAAGAAATAGTATAATAGTCTCTTAAGGAGGACCCCTTATTATAAAAAAAGATAGATAAGATTTAGATTACTAGGAAATAGTAACTAACGCCGCTATTATAAATTCGAGGAAATTTCGTTAGTATAGTAAATCTAGTATTCGTCTTCCTTATAAATTAGTAAGACTAACCGTTAGAACCCTGCGACTATCCCCTATAAAAATCAGCTATCCTTAACTTTAGTACTTCCCTCGATATCTATAATATACTCTTATAATTCCGGTCCTTTAAAAAGGTATAAAGAGAATATCTTATTACTAGGGAATTAACTATATAGATAGAGGTATATAAAAAGGTAAATTTTATAATAAAATTACTTAATAGGTTTATATAAATTCTTCGATAAAAAAGGGTAGCTTTTTACCCTTAATTTTTAACGAGCTTAATTTCCTTCCGCTTTCTTTAAAAGGAAGGAATCTTTTAGGATACGACGTCTAAGCCTATAAGGCTAGTCTAGGAGAATTAGACTATTAGGATTATTAAGGAAAAATTCGGTTAATTTATTCTTAAATTCCGACCTATCCTTAAGAAGGAATTACTTAAGAAGTTAGCTTTCCTTACTAAGAGGAATAGATTTACTATAAAGGACCCTTTTTTAATAGCTTAAGGAGACGGTCTTTTTTAGTATATATAACTTAGTTACCTAGGCCCCTTAGTATTATATAAGCTAGGATAATAATAGGGCGTATAAATAAGGGGCCTAAATACTATCGAATATAAATACTATAGCTAAGGAAAGACTAAGAAACGAATTTCTAGATAAACCCCTTTATAGCCGGACTAGCTATATAAGGAAGTTTAGGTTAACTAGACTAACGTTTCTAGGGATTAAGAAAGCTTTATTAAGGTAATATTTTTTATAGATACTTTTTTAAGGATAGTTTTCCTTTATTTCTTATAGACCTACCTAAGTAAGTATAACTAGTCTACCTTTTAAGACTTTATTAACTAAATAAAATTCTACTTTAGCTATAAGGTAAAGAAGATATAGTCTAATAGAGAGCTATTTATATCCTAAATTAGCTTTAAAAAAGGGGCATTTTACCTATCCTATTAGCACTAAATACCTAGGCTTAAAATAAAGGGGTAGAAAGATTAAGGGGTGCTATAATAAAAAGGGCCTAGATAATAAGACTTACTATAAGGCTTCTATATAACCTTTAAAGGGAAGTTATTAAGACCGCCTATTACTATTAAAACTAGACCCTAAGGGACCCTAGGGGCCTAAGGGACTATAGGGACTTAGAGACCCTTATTAAGACTTAAGAAGTAAACTAGAAATTACCCCTTAAGCTCTTTATAAAGAAGAGGGCCTAACTAGCCTACCTTTATACCTATAGCTATAAGGTATATACTATAACTATTAATATATAGCTAAAAAGAAAGAAGAAAAGAAAGCTTAATCTTAGAGCCTTTATTAGTTACCTCGTTAGTTATAATTCTATAATTATCTTTTAGATCTAGATTCCTCTATTATAGAAGGTTATTTTAACTAGGGATATAATTTTCGATAAATCTACCTTCTTTAATAGAAAGAGGGATTAATAGCCCTTCTTACTCTTATAACGTTATTTAATTTAAAAGATCTAAATTCCCCCTTCTTAATAGTCTTAAGAAGAGGCCTTAGATAAGGAAATAAAAAAAGAAACTAATATTAAAGTAGTCGAGGATAACGCTAACTTTAAAGAAAAAGAGGAAGCTACTAGATTAAATAATATAAATAAAGAAGGAGACTATAGGAAAGCGGTAGAGCTAGAATACGCTTACCTTCCTACGCCTCCTCTTATAGAATAAAAAGAAGATCTAAAAGTAGCTTTTTTAGTTAGTCTTCCTATCTCGACCTTTAAAGGGGTAGGAAAGGCACCTCTCTTAAAAGATTACCTAGCTGCTTTTTTATTCCTACTTTAAGACGTAAAGGAAGGTATAGGGCCTAATACTAAAGAAGACTAACCTCTCTTTTATTTAAATCGTTTTTTAGACTTCTATCTAACGCTAATAAAAGACGGTTCTTATAAAGCATTTATAGTAAGCCGGCTTTTTAAGCTACTATTAGTAAGGAAGGTATATAAAAGAGACCTTATAGACCT